GAGGGACAACAAGAAACAAATACTTAATTGGACAACCCCACATCTATATACAATTATCTTACACGAAGGACTATCATCCATCAATCAAATAATATCTCATACACGTATATATTCATATATATTCGAATATCATTCGAAACAATTCAATCTACATATTGACAATTGTCAGTAAGAATATAATATTAAAAAAGAAACAAATGAAATATATAGTAGATATTAATTATAAAGTATTGAGTCTATTATAAATTAAGACAATCTATAGAATTTCAATTATTATTTTTCGATCATATCTAATATAATCATATCTGATTAATGGACAAAAATAAAATAAAGAAGAGAGAGAAGAAAAAAAAATTTTCTTTTTCCCCTTCTTTGTTTTTTATAATTCTATTAGTTTATCTTGATTTAATTGCATGAAAAGAAAAATGTCAGAAATGACATAGTCATACTCGATTATAGATATTTGATAAAATGCATTTAGATTCTTTTTTTATTCTATATAAAAAAGAGAGAATTTAATAGAATATTGATTTAATAAAAAAATAGTATAGGTCTATATAACAAATTAAAATATCAATTATTCATATGATATTTAATTGTTATCATTACATATATATATTTTAAATCATTCTTGTGAAATTATTAACGGGATTTGACTTTGAAGTCAATTTTTTTTCACAAAGAAAAAAACATAGATAACCTCCGGCAAGTGAATAAATCGTATTCTTTTATGTGTTTGAATCTATTGTTAGTCGTATATAGCTTATGATTTATAATTATTCAGTTTCTGTTAAAAGGCATTCTCTCTTTTCTTTTTTGAAATTAATCGAGATTATTTAAGCTTAAATATATAACGACTCTAATCTATAAGCAAATGAATAATGAATGAATCATAAAATACGTAAAAAAAAATCTAATGTATAGTTATTGTTGTAGTAAAACAAGTTCTCTTTACTATATTTGAATAAATATGTCTTTAATTTCAATCTTGAATGATACATATATTCTATTGGCAAAAGAGAAATCCCCTAAGACTAAAGTTAAATATTTTCATAATACTATTACTCAAGTTAATATAAGCACGACAACAGAGTATTTCTTTTTTTAATAAATTTTCAAGGAGAAAACGAAATATACGAAACGATAAAAACACATGTATTATATTTCTATAGACATTAACATACCAATATTCGTTCTTACTATATAATTTTAACACCATTTAAAAAGTACTTTTAGGTAGTGTTCTATTAAGTATAGTCTATTTGATTTCTAATCGTGTTAAGAGGAAATTATTAGATTGATAAATAGTAAAAGCAATACACATCTAAGATAACATTAAAAAATAATAATAATAATATTTTTCTTTACCACTAGATTGTTAGTTGTGGTTGTGGGAGCAGTGGTTGCCTGCTGCTCTATGTTCATGACCATGCCTCAATACTGTGTGCTTCTGAAACAAGCAAGAGAAGTAGATGAAATGACGTGCCGCTCTCTTTTTCCTCTCTTCGATGTCGCCGTTTTGTTTCCACTTTTCTACTGTTATGGTAGAAGAAGAATAAGAAGAAAAAAAAAACTCTCTTTCCCTTCCATACATCGACCATTTTCTTTCTCTTTTTTTCCTGTATTTTTCTCCTATATTGTGCAGAGAAGTTCTTCTTGCGTTCAATCCATAAATTCATCTGAGACAACATAGAGAAAGAACGGAATGTAATGGCGCTCGCAAATAAAAAAAAAAGGCTAAGAAAAAAGAAATGCAATGCAAAACGTCTTTTTAGCTTGTTTGCAACTACTATATAGCATGCTTTCTGATCATTATTATATGTGCTTCTCATTTTTTTCCCCTTATCGTTCGCGTTGTATAAACAGGAAAACAACCCGAAGAAAGATCGTTCGTTCAAGTGCAATGTCAATATATACTCAATATAAACTTACAAAATTCGTTTGTTGGTTTTTTGTTATATATGAAATTGAACTAATTATAGATATATAATCAATAGAATTTGAAGTTGATATCATCTAAAATATGATGGTTTCTTTTTTTCTTCTCATTTTCAAGTCAAAAAAAAATAATCAGTATGCTTAACAAATAAAATTAGCCGAAAAAACGATTATAAAAAGAGAATAAAGAGCCTTTATTTGATCTTCTTCATTCGCATGCCATTCAACGTCTTTCTTTTTTTGTTGATGCCTATCAAGTGCATCACATCATGTTTTATCGATTATTTCTTCCAGTTAATGTATCATCTTCATATGTATAAGCAGATGTGTCTAAATAAAAATAGTTTATTTTTAAAAGAAGGATAAAATAATAAACTAATTTGACAAGTTCAAGGTAATTGATCTAATTTACAATGGGTGGAAAAAGAAAAGAAGAAAAATTTATAATTATCATCATTTTGGAGTTTTGCAAAAATATTTAATTCAGTATATTAATAAGAAAAAAAGAAGACATGAAATTTAATGGATTCGTGAAGTCATATATATATTTCAGTTTGTATTTAAGTCTAACAAAAAAATAATGTATCTAAGCAACCTTTGAAGTTAGAATGTACTGGGGGATTAATCTCTCTAGAGATCTAAAGATAGATGAATGTTGTTCCTTCGTTGATGTAATATAGTAATCAACTATTATATTTACAGTCAATTTAATCAATTTAATAGAAAAGAGAAAAGAAAGAAGTTGGTAGATTGAATAAAAATAAAAAATTAGTTTTGTTAATCTTTAACGAAAATATTCAGGAAATGTTTCACCGTTTTTTTCTTTAAGACGGAAAAAAGAAAAGAAAATCATTTTCTTTTACGGAAATAAATCGTTCCGGCGCTTTAGAAATATTTCTTAGTTCAATGCATACATTATAATGATTTTATTAGAAATTATTATGTAAAAAAATCATGTTTTCAACGAAATTAATATATAACTAAGAATTTTCTATTAAACATCGGTTATGCAAGAGTATAAAAGAACATTTAATCTGTCTAATGACTGCCTTTTTTTTTAATAGAAAAGCCAAAAGGACATATAAAAATAGTCGATTAGCGCAAGCTGTTTTGCTCTTGATAGAAAAGTTTATGTGTAGTATAAATGTCGTCTAGGAGTACGATGGCCAATTCTATTATCAATATATGAAGACTTAGTACCAAATGATTATTTCTTCTATCGACTTTTCAATGAAGTATCATTCATTAGCACATCTAGAGCTTCTTTAAATTAATTTTTGATTAGTCATATGAATAACGAAAATCTTTGATATAAGACAGACGTTCTCTATTTGTTGAGAAATATAAATAATACTCTACACTCAATAACCGAGATACACGTGAACTAGTAGAACTTAACGAAAACAGCCAACACTTGAATAAGTGATGCTACACGTCATGATGAAGAGTGCCAGATTATATGATAGGATGGATAATAATCCGCTTATTGCATACTGTTTTATGTAATCTTTTTTATCTGAAAATGTATTGCTTTTAGTTTTGCCTATGTTGAATATCATATGTTTCTCAAGAATATAGATGAACTTAAAATTATTAAAACGAGAAAAATACGATTGCGTGCTAGTCAAAAAAAAAAATATTTACAATTAAGAATAGTTTGTCGATAGATTTATTCAAAAGAAGAAAAAAAACAACAACAAAATAAATTATCTAGTAATTTAAATAATCTATTCAACGAAGGAAGTAAAAAAAAGTCTTTTAAATTACATAGGAGAATAATTATCATAAAAATTGAAGTTAAAATACTTCTATTTAAAAGACATTTTTCAATCATGAATAACGAATCTATTTGATCCTTAAACAATAGTATTGCGTATATATAAATCACTTCATTAAAATTAAGACATATTCTACTTACCAATATAATTATTTTCCGATCCAACAATGGAACATATATATATATATTTCAATGCTATACACTTACTCGTCTTCTTTGAATTCTATTAACAATAATCTACTAGTAATATATATAAAAATTGTTACTATTTTATCATTGCATGATCAAGAATGTAAATGAGCAGCTAAACATTATTAGAAATATAAGAGAGAAATTGTTTTTCTTCAACTTATCTATCAGAGCAAATATTTATTTTAGTAAATAGAAATTTACTTATTCATACTTATACAATGATTCTGTTTGTCTCAAGGACAAATAATTTTCAATTACTCATACCTGGCAGTCCATGCATAAGTAAATTTCTCAATCAAGCATAATTGTTCTCTTCAAATTGAGTTGTAATTTCTATTTTATGTAAAACAAGATTAGTTTTAAATTTAAAATCAAGTACTTTGTATACAATTGTCAAGAGGACAAATATATCATTATATAGTTTTTCATTAATAATCTATTAAAATATCTATATACTAATTAATATTGACTATATCATTCTTTTAGATAGATGAATATTTCATTATTATAATTTATTGCATGAAATTTTAATTTTGAATATTTACTTTTGATTAATTCTGCAATAGTAAGTTATTTCATTACAAGATCAAGTGTTTGATTAACATATTCTTTGAAGAAAGAACATATGTTTTAAAGTCAATAGAATTTAATTACAAGATGTAAGTAGCTTTTTTTCAACACATTAGTTCAGATTTAAATGAATTGAAATTCTATACAAGAAAACAATAGTATATTGAATAATGACGCCCTCTACAGGAATATCGGAAATAAATTTTGATTAATTAAAATTTTTTTTTAATTTAATTAATAAAATGTTATAAATAAGAATTTATTTTTTTTGCAAGAAATATCATTTATAATAATAATTCTTGATCAAATTGAAGACATTGTATGGAGTAATATGGTTGAATAAAACAAAACTGATGCAATTTGATTGGTTTATTTATTATGTCTGTAAGAAGTTCATCGAAGAAGTTTTTATGTGTATCGTATTAATGAATGAATATATGTTATTTTAATATTCTATTCTATTTGCAGATTGTGTAGTATTATATTTTTATTCTGTTTTTTTTTGCATTTATTGATCTAAACAATGCCAACGAAACTTTATATTGGCAATGTTCCACCAACAGTAAGTTCAACGGAATTAAAAGAACTATTTGAAAAATATGGCAAAGTACTTGAATGTGACATTGTGAAAGATTATGCATTTGTTGTAAGTCATTTTATTATGATTAATTTCATGGATTAGATCATTTATTTTCTCTATTATTAGCATATGGAAGATGCAAGTAAAGCAAAAGCATCGATAGCAGCTTTAAATGATTTTAATATAAAAGGAAGTCGTATTAGAGTTGAGGTATGATTTTTTGTTTAACTTTAAATTATTTTCTTTTCATTGATTGATTAGATTTCAACGACACAACTTCGAAACTCAGGTGATCGTGGCGGCGGTGGTGGTGGCGGTCGTTCATCGTAAGATTTTATAAAAGATTAAAATAGATTTTATTTTATTATTATTTATTTTTCTATTCATAAAATCTAGTCGTCGCGGAGAATCACCACGTTATGATTCTGGTTCAATGTCAATACGATCATCTCGGTTAGATTAATTATTTCTGAATATCTATAAGTTAGTTTGTTTTTTTTCTTTCTCTTTTTAAGAAATCGTGATTATCCGATGATGTCGTCAAGTCGAAACGGTAGTTATTCAAGTGGTGGTGGTGGTGGCGGAGGTGGTGGTCCTGATCGATCGTATCCAAGTATGCGTAATAGTTACATGGACGCACGATCTCGTCCGTATGATTCACCATATGAACGTCAACGTATACCACCACCACCAATGAGTTATCATGATCCATATAGTCGTGCTGGTGGTGATCCATATAGTATGCGTAGTGGCGGTGTTGATCCGTATGGTCGTGATGATTTCTACCATCAACGACCGCCACCAATGCCGATTGCAGATCATTATGGACGTGGTCCACCGATGCGGTATGTCGTTATTCGTGCATATTAGAAAAAAAGGAGTATTATGTCGAAAAAAATCGTCGACTTATTGCTTTTGTTTTTCTTTATATATCTCCAAATCCGTCTATGTATCTCTCACTCTCTCTCTATATATATATAAATATTCGTTCGTTCGAACATACCCAATGGTCGTAATCCGTTTCAGGTCTCCTTACGATGCCTACGCTGGTTATCCACCTGGACCGAATTCGATGGGACCACCAAGAAGGTAAGCAAGAAACCTATAAACAAAAAGATTACATTCAATTCGTATATAAATATACATGGAAAAATTGGTCGAAGTGCTTTATCTTTCATGAGGGTTATATATAAACGATAGAGAGAGAAAAAAAACTAAAGAATAAAAATCGGAACATTTCGATCTTCGTATTAATATACTCTTACATTAGTCGTTATGTTGCTTCACCACCAATCTCACGTAATGGATCTGGACGTTATGGATCACCATCACGATCATCATCTTCTCGTCGTCCAACAAGAAGATCACCACCACCATCATCTTCCAGTTCATCACGATCACGTCGATAGGAAAAACCAAATGAATTATCATCATTATTCATTTCAATAAAACATTTTCTTCTTCTTCTGACACATTATTGTTTACAGAGCCAGATGAAACAAATGATTATTAACCAAAAAAAAACCAAGTTATTGATTTGTTTCATAAATCAGTCAGACTGAAATGATATTGTATAAAAAAAAATAAAAAAATTTTCTTTTTTTGAATTGTAAGCACGATAAATTATCATGTTTCTTTTTTTTCCCTTTATCTTTTGTTCTTTATTGACTTTCCCTGTGTTTGTTGTATTTGTGTTTGTCTATATATGAGTGATAAACAAAAAAGCAGTCTATATGACATTCAATGAAGTGATATTTACAGAAATTCAAACGAATGAAGATTAATAAATCTTTACTACAGTCAATAGTATTTGTAATAATCAATCGAAGGTAAAGTAAACTTGAAATGATGGTACTAATAATTCAATCTAATCAATTAGACGTGTGGGTGAAAGAATGTCTATATTGAAATAAATTCATTTGTTAGTCTATCTCATCATCTAATGAGAGATTTACCAGTATAGAGTATTAACAAATTCTGATTGAATCGAATACAATATTATAACATTGACCTGGATTCTTTCATTCAATCAAAAATATTTTGCTATTTGTTTTTACAATTATATTGATCGATAGATTTAAAAAGTATGACAAAACATCTCTTATTGTAATTTTTTATTGATAAAATTTTACTGGAAAAATACTAGTCGTTTGTTCTTGTAAATATTAAATATATCAAAATCATTAATTCCATTAGTCGTGTGTGTGTTTTTATTCATATAATAATTTTTTCTTCCTTCTCACGCTAGACCTTATTTTTCTTCTTTTTCTTCCATTACTAGATTTCGTCTATACTTATAGTATGTTGTTTTCTTCTCATAATAGGTTTTTCATCGTTGCTTTTCTCATTCTCTTACATGAACATATTCACTCTTCATACAGAATTGGAGAAGAAAAAAATAATGCCTTTCCACTAACATTCTATATTAAAAGCGCTTGAGAAAATAGCAAAAACAAAGAGCAAAAACGACGACTAGATGGAAAAAAACGAAGAAGAAGGAAAAGAAAAAGAATACGCATTTTTTCTTTTTTTCTACTAACTTCCTTGTTTTTTCATGTCATTCGTCACACCGTTGGAGAAAACATCACATATAGAAAGAAAAAACAAAGACTAGAATGAATATGTGGTACGGTGTATCAACTTTTACAACAACAGTAATAATTTTAATTATAAGTAAAAGTATTCAAGGAACAGATTGGAATGATTATGGTGAAGCATCGTCAAATGTTAATACAGCATTTGATGATGATTCTGATCAATATTTAAGTGCATTAACACGTGATCAAGAACAAGAAATACATAGTCCATTTATAACCGGTTACAAATATGTGTCAGGTGGAGCTGGTGAAGGCCGGCAACATTTGAGTCCTAGTGGACAAATACCAAATCATCCTGAAGTTAAAACTGACGAAGAATTACCATCCTATTGCAATCCACCTAATCCATGTCCATTAGGTTTTGAAGGTAAAATAAAATAAAATAAATTTATAAATAAATTATATATATATATTTATAGCTGATGATTGTGACGCATCACCGATGACAAAATTTAATGGTGAATATAGTCGATTATATCAAACTGAACAAGATTGTCAATGTGACAATGATCATGATGAATGTTTTCTGAATCGTATCGTAGTAATTATATAAAAGAAAAATTCTTTCGATCGTTTATATTTCGTTTCTTTTTTAGTATGATGTTCCACTTAATGGTGCATCAAAAGATGTTTTAAAACGTGCCCGACGAGTTCGACGAGTATGTTCTTTTTATTAAAGAAAAGAAATATATATCTATATATTTATTTTAGAACTTAAATCTTAAACAGAAAAGTGAAAATGCTACAAAACCTCATTATTCTCGTCCTCCCTATCATAAAGGACAAACATTACGATTTCATGTTGCTAAAAAATCTCCAATTCATATGACGTCTTAAATTGTACAATATCTATTTCTCATCGAACTGAATGAACACATTGAATTCAACTTGCCTCAAAAAATATTTTCTCCAATTATAAAACAGAACCAAAAAAAAAAGAAGATGAATATGAAATATTAACATACTTTTTAAAAATGAATATATCTTCTTCGTAGAAATAAAACACAAAATGTATGACTTTAATCTATTCTTACTTAAAAATCAAAGAAAAACACTGAAAAAGTATTGCTAACTATGTACCAATTACAAAGAATAAATAACCTCGTTGAACAGTAATTGAGAGATGTTTATATATATAGGCTCTTCTTGATTGCGAACATGTTTTCTGAATAAGTGGAAAAACATGTCTACAAAGTGCCATTGAAGAGAGAGAAGGAAAAAGTGATGGCATAATGGAAAATGTGTATGAGTAGCTGGATTTTAAAAGTGAATATAACATGCTTCGAGGTAGTTTTTACACAGATACTATATAAAGTAATGTTCAAGAATTACTATTACGTACTGAATATAACGGAATAAAAATATCAATTTATACACATTAGTTGTGTTATAAATATGAACATCAAGCAAAAGTGCCTTTAGATGTGTATGAAATAATGAATATTCATATGGTCTAGTGGATCTTGAAGGTTATCAGAATAGATTGCGTTCTGTTTGTTATCGGTTTATCAAAGTATTTGATACAACTGACAAGCATTATCTTGATTATCTACGTCTCTTAAGGATTCCCCCTCCAAAAAGTCGATTTTTGTCAAAAAAATAGGTTTTGAGATAAACACATGAGTATGATGCCTGAGTCATCTATTTTATAAATCCGTATAGATTCTATTGAATCTCTAACTTTTTTAGGAAAATTTTGTAAAAAACCTTAAGTTAGTTGGAAGCATTATTGCTTATACAGATCAAAAAAAACATCGTTTTTCTCAAAATCGAGTTTTTTGAAAAATATCAATCTCAGAACAAGTTTTTCTCCACTATAGTTTACTCTATTAAACTGCGTTTTTTTTTTATTTGATAGATACACATATCCTTCTTCAGATGACGGGAAGGAAGTTTTTATTTTACTCCTAATCTATGAGTAATTAGGTATTTTCTGAAAAACCTACCTACGGTTTTGTGAATCCTATCAAAGAAAAAAAATCAAAATTAAGAAAATCTTTTCCATCATCTGAAGCACCAAGGTGTTCTCTTTCAAATGAGACCAGCCCGAGCGCTCCATCTCGAAGTGTATTGAAAAAATCCTTGTACGCATGGGACCCCCATTTTGTCCCTTGGTACCTGTATATCTACCGAACGGAAAGGGCTAGAGCCATGAAATTTTTTCTATAATTGTACCTATACGGGTCGAGCGTTTGTAGAAAGTTTCATAAAGATACCATGCACCATGTTGAAAATCGATTTTAGAGAGAGGGGGAATCTTTAATTTAATAGATCTTACCTTGATTTCCTAATACAGTCATTTTTGTCTTTCTTCCTACTATAACAGTAACAATTGATTTCTTTCGTTCATTTGTATAAGACTTAATAAGTTACAAGATGATTGATAAGATTACAAAAACAATCAATACCTGATTCATATTTAATTTTTCTTCCATTTTCAATAATATTTGTCTACAGAAATGAATTATTTAAAGAGCAATCGTTATATTCTATTTAGAAAGAAAAATAAACTGATTAACCTTCAATTTGTCATAATTATATATCATTTATTTTTTTTTATTTTCTTTGAAAACTATTTTATGCACGAGAAAAATTAGATTTTTCTTTTGTTGATGATATAAGAGAATTTAATCAATAATTGAATTATTCGGTCTTGTTTGAATTCTAGTCGTGAATTAGAAAACTTACTGAAATAATTCATTTAATCAATTAAATTTCCTTCTCGTTCGCTGTACATTACAATTAACTATGGATTATTATGTATAAGTTCGTACAATCATTTTTAATAGAAAATCTTTTGCGCTTTTATCGAATAAAGACTGTTAATTATCTTAGTGTTAAGTATGACATTACAATCAAATAAAGATGATCTTGTTATCACAGGTATTTCAACAAAATTTCCTGAACGTTATTTATCACAACATATAAATGATAAATCATCTAATGAACAGAATCAATCTAGTGGATGTTCCTTTGATCCACATTGTCCAGAATGTATTCGTGAATTATGGGGACCATTATTATCACCATTTGCTTATTTAATTAAACAAAATGCTCAATATTTCAATGAAATTCTTATGCGAATAGGACAATATAAAATAAATACAACATCAAATTCATCTTCAAAACATTTACCAAAATTTCCTAAACTTGAATATGAAGATCATAAATTTTTAACAGGAATTGGTCTTTGTGCTTTACATATAACAAAAGTTAGTTGGCTGATAACTTGGGTAAGAATATTTATTGATGAATAAAATCTATGTCTAGATTTCTATTAGACATTTGGTTTCTTATTATTAATAATAGCTTTTATTTTGATTCTATTACATGATTCATATCTTCCACCTCTTATTGTTCTTTTAAGTATGAAGGAAGCAACTCAATGGGGAATGAAATTTACACTTCAACTAGTAATTAAAAAAACAGCCTTTTATTTATTGTTCGGATATTTATTTTCTAATTCAAAGGTTTTTATTATTATCTCACTGATTGGAATAGGTAAAATGTTAGCATCTGTGCTTGGTCTATTTGGAACAATTCATCGAACAGTAAAACTTATGATAGGAGTGAGTAATAGATATATCTAATTATTAGTATGATTTAAACTTATTTTCTAGAGATTAGACTGTAATATTTATTAGTATTCTTATTTTATTTGAAACTGGTTTAATCGTTTATGTAATTATCAGTTGGTCTGAAGTATATCAATTTTTTGTATATTGAAAGAAAAATTAATTTAGCATACTTTATTCATTTTTAGCTTATATCAGATGTTGAAGATGCATTAAAAAATTCACTTTATAATTCTCATCGTAGTACAAATAAAGATCAAATAATAAATACTTGGGATCGAATATTTCAAACTGTAACAGAAGATATATGAAAGAGAATAATATTAATCTTTTGATTTACAGTATGAATGTTGTGGATGGCTTAATAGTAATTTTACCGGGACCCTATGGAATAATTCACACTCATTTTTTTTACCATATTCTTGTTGTCGTCCAGGTTTGATTATATAAAAAAGTAACACAATGTTATAAATATTCATTTTTAATCAGGTGCATCTCACCCTACTTGTGAATTGGCTACTTCAGCTAATCAAAATTATGCTGATCAAGTATTTATTTTTTCTTTATGACATATACAGTTGTTAACAGAAAAATCTTGCATAAATTTCTTTTCGTATTATTTTGAGAGCTTGAACAAACTATAGATCTTACTAAATATCTTTCTTAATAGCCATGTCAAGTTGCTATTCAAGAAAAATTATTAACAAATATCAATAAATTAATCGCACTTGCTATTCTTGGAATAATTCTCACTGTTGAAGTAATTCAAATTGATTTTAATTAATAAAACTATGAAACTAAATTAGATTGTATCTGCTATTGTCACATATTTATATTCATCAACATTAAAAACTGCTCGTCGACGTCGTCGTTATCAGAATGATAAATTAATAAATAAATTTAAAAAACGACTTGTTTCTTATACTGAACAAGCAACTGATACTACACCAACGAATCCAAATGAAAATCTTCCACGACAAGAACAACAACCTGAAACAAATGATCTTCGTCAATTATATAATCAATATGCTGCATTTCATCAAACTCCGCCTGATATGAATCCAAATGCAATGTCTATAACACCATCTGTTATTCAAGTTAAAAGACCAGATGTTTATTCATATTTTTACTATGAATAAATATATCTTTATTGTGCTGATTTTTTTCTCTTAAAGAATAGACAAAAAAAAAAAGAAAGAAACCGAAACATATCATAGTTTTGTATGCTGATATAGACAGTATATATATATATATATACAAAGAAGAAAAAAAAAGAAATCGTCAATATATTGAACAAAAAAGAAAAATAGAATCGGGTTGACAAATAAACGACTAGATAGAAATTGTCGATACAAGTCTGTTTTATCCCGATTGATTATCTCACTGTTCGCCAGATTGTTTTTCTATACAGAGTAATCTAGATAGACTAGCCTTTATACATGCACAAAAGAAAACCGGAAACATAAAGAAAAATATCGTTGCGATCTTTCCATATAAAATAGTTATTAGAAGGTAAAATATATACCTGAGATAAGAATGTTACATTCATAGATACAAAAAAAAGAAGAAACAAGTACATATTAATCTGTTGGATCACCCGTATCAGGAAATGGTATCATATTTTCAAGTGAACTATTTGTTTGTAATGGACGTATGACTGTATTACTACAAGTCGATGATGTTAATGAATCCATTGTATCAGTAATACCACCTAAATCAATAGAAATAACGATTTTGTAAATAATTTTCTTAATCAACAAACTATTTTTTAATGAAATATCAACAGCAGCATCAGCTAATTTTTCCATAAGTTCAACTTCAAAATCAGATTTTAAACTATCTAATGAACTTCCATAGACACTTAATGATGGTGCATCCTATGCAATATGAAGAATTTTAATCAATAAAAAAATATTTTGTTTTTTTATTTTACTTGAAAACTACCAGAACCAACTTCAATATAGGCAGGTGCTGTATCTTTATGGATGTTTGGTACATGGACTGGTGTAGATTTTGACCATTGCATTCTATAGAATGAAAATTGTTTTTACATTAGAAATAAAAGAATTTAGAAATTTACGGTAAACTTTTTAAATCAGCTTCAACAAAATTCATTGATGTTTGTGGTGAATCAGCTGTACAAACATTGGAATTTGGATGACAAACACTTACAGTTGCTTCTGAATAATGTTTAAATTGAAATTGTGGACCCATCCATAAACGACGATGTGGACCAACATGTGTATTCATTTCAACCTAATTTAAAGAATTTAATATAGAAAAAAAAGAAAAAGAAATATCTTACTTGTCGTAACCAATCATCTTTGGAATGGATTTTATTAGTTGATATTAATCGATGTCCTTGTGATAAAAATGAATTTGCAACTGACATACGTACTTCTGGCCATGTTATTAATCTTAATTAAAAATGATTAGAAATTATATTCTTATCCATGATAATAATACCTTTGTAGTGGCCATTGAGCTTTTGGACATGCTTTAACAGCAAGTGGAGTTTCTGATGTAATGCGTGTACCATGTTTACTTATATCTAAAATAGAATAAGATTATTATTATACATGGTAATAGTATATAACTAACCTGGTATAGGTTCAAGTACATATTCAATAAGTCGACCATACCAAGTAATAATATATAATGAACTACATGCACGTGGTGTATGATCTTGATGATTAATCATATCTTCTGGATTAAGAAAACCACGTGATATACCAAATGTTGTTGCCATACATAGCGAATCAATATTGAATGGTACACTAAGACCACTAACAAAATTATCTGTTGGTTGACGAATTATTGCAACAGCTGTTGAAAAAATACATTCACTTGTTGCTCGTTTTGTACGCATTGATGATAAATAATAATTATTATGACCATTAACTATATTCGATGATGAATTAGTTAACGTAGTTGATGATATATCTTTAAGTCCATTTTCATGTCCATTACTATTTGTTTGACGTGTTGATTGATCTTCAAGACCAGCTGTACGTTGATAACGACTAGCTTTATTTACAACATAATTTTTCGTATGACTACGAATATTAACAGCACCTAAAATAAATAGTTGTCAGTATTCGTTGTTTCTGAGTTGATTCTACTGTTCAAATAATATTTTATTCTCATCAAGGATCTCGCAAAAGAAATGTATATATAGTAATACGATACAATATCAATGAAAACGTAACTAAAGTAAAAAAGATCAATATCTCAACTTGTATCTCATATAAGAGCACAATTTGTTTAATCTCTATAAAGCCTACTTGTGAATTGAGAACTGAAGTAATCCGAGCGTAAATCTTGGAACTCTACAGAATGATATCACTCAACTTTATCTCGTAATCATCCCTACTTTGAAAGAAAAGATTTTAATCTATAGCTTACCTCCATATGGATTAATCGCATATAAATGTGTGGTTCCTCGTTTCGTTGATATCGCAAGCCATCGACTGTCAGTAGTAAATGTTATATGAGATACTAAAAAAAAGGAAATAAATAAATAAATATATACATGTATGTTATTTATTTACCCCGACAATCCGTATCTCCACGAAATAATGTATACAAATGTTTAATATATGTTCTTGTACAACGATAGGGTGATGATTGAATTTGTAATACATTAAAATAATGTCCACTATTATCACATGTAACAAGTAAATGTCCACTTGGATTAAATTGTAAATAACCAATAGGTTCAGTATGAGCTTGAAAATGAGCAATTATCCAATTTTGTCTTTCATCATGAACTGATGACTGAAAAAAAAGAAATAAAATTAAAAAAAAAGTCATCTTTATAATAATTTTCTTACACCAAACAATTTAACGGTATCAACAATTGTTATAATTCCTGGTTGTGGTTCTTCTTTACCTGATCCATGTCTATGACGTGTTGAATTTGTATTATTATTATTACTATTATTATTCATCGTTGATAATAATTGTTGTTTAGGTGGTGATGATTTTTCATTTCCATTATTTATTTGTTGTCCACTATATCCAAGTACACTTTCTCCGATTTTAACAACACTTTTCGATAAAGATTTAGCTGCATTTAACATAACACCCGTATATGATGCATATTGTTCCGATATATTTCCATTGATACCACCTGATGATTGATGAATTAAATTAAGACGATAATCAACAAATGCTAACCATCTTGTTGATAATGATAATGGTAATGATGAATATAAATTAGTTAGAAAAAATTTTTCATCAAATTTTATTATATCATAACCAATAATAAATGTATGTGTCGCACAAATAAGTACGGAACTATTTGATTCAATTAATATTGGTTCATTTTGAAGAATATTTCCAGGTAAATTAAGAATTTTTATAATATGTTGATCATTTTTTAATGAACGTATTTGTATTGATGGTGGTCCAGCTGATTTAGCAAATGCAATTAATGGACGATGTATTGAATATGGATCATCATTTGAAGAATTCAATATTAATAAACATGCCGAACAAATATTATGTTCACGAATAGAAAATAATTCACTTGCGATACCATTACTTTCAATTGTCCATAATGTTAACCCACTTTTATAGGCAATTAATAAAACCAATGTATCATAACGTATTGATGAATGCCATTCATGTGCATTAGATAAAAAACGCATCCATTCTATGGGTTCTAATTGATCAGCATTTATTGGACGTGATGATATTGCATAGGCCTGTATATGAATGACAAAATATATATATATTTTATGAAAAGAGAAATTATTTTAAAATTACTTGAGGAACTTTTTCTACAACATCGTGAAAAAGATCAACAACTGATTCAATAACACTTTTTTCGCTAAAATGAATAATAGATATATGTGAAAAAAAATAATTAAATTCCTTTTTTTCTTTTACTTGACAGCCTCCGGTCGAATTTTTCGTAATTCAATTGATGATACATAGGACATTCAAGCAGTTAATTTCCAACAAAAGAAAAACGCTATGAATATATATATGTATTTATATTCTAAAATAAATGTGCAATGCGAAGAATGCGCTTTAGTATAAATATTGTCATGCGACACTATTAAAAATTTATCAAAGCAAATCGCGAATCAGCTGACAATTACGACTTAAAAATGTAATGATGACTCATAAACAGACACGAGGAAAAAAAACAACAAAGAATAATGTACAAAGAAAATAAAATTCGTTTTATTGGGTGTTGAAAGCTAATCATCCAATTCATTATAAAAAGCGTATCAAAAGATGTCGCAGTGAAAGTATTGCCGTATCGAATACAACTATGACCAGCGTCTATCTATGTTTTATCAGATATAGATTATTGGTTGGTCGAAAGATAAATATGAAATAAGCAGGATGTTCGAGGCGACCAACTATCGTAAAATGTACTATATTAAGTATCTATAGTCCAGTTTCGTTTTTCTTCTCACTGTACTGCTTTGGATTTTCGACCAGTACTAGCAGTGGTGAGTAATATTATGTAGATCAACCGAAAGAAGGAGCAGAAGAACTATTGTATAATAAAATCCTTTTGTCATGACTGAATTTGCAAAATCTTCGTGATATCTCATTCATCCAGTCACAAGAAGAAAATTCAAGATTCTAGCAAACGAATACACTTTCATGAAATATTATGACTCTCTTCTCGCTCTGATGGAATATTTAGATAGATTATTATTTGCCGTTGCTAAACGAAAAAAATGACTTTTAATTCTCTTCTTCATCTCTTGACTAATACGTAACCTTTGTTATAATGTTAAACTCATATTATATAAGACAAAATGTGTCTAATTATTCATCATACTCTGAAACAAATTTCTCCTATTTCCCATTTAGACATACATATTTTTATACTTTTTCCCCACCAAATTTTCGACATTCTTCCTTTCAACCAAACTATGGCACACCAGATTATTTCACATTCTCGAGGTATCAGTTTTACTAATACTTAGTAACTCCTACTTATCATTTTAAATTAGAGTTCAAACGTACCTATACCTTTTGTTTTGTAACAAATCAATATTTTATTCAGCCGTATAATGTACTCATTAATTCAAAATCAATTGAGCGATATTGAAGAATGAAATTACCCGATCATAAACTGCATCTTAGCATTATTACAATACATAGATTAATTCAGAGAAGTACTCTATAGGTTGAATATAACAACTGCTCTTATATATATTAAAGAAACACATTCAAAACTATAATTTGGATAGAATTTTATTTATAAATTATAAAAAGAAAAAATTCATTTTTATATTATTCTAATTACACAACCTAATTATCACTATTATATATTTCTATCTATACAAAATGTTCTGTTGCGTAAAGGAGAAAAGTTCATATTTATGATGTAATCGTATGAGAATTTGCACCAATTTTTGTTAACATAAAAAAAAAGATTGAAAATGATACAACTTGTGAGATGATATGTAATATTGAAACAATATCAATTGAATTTTCTGAAGATGATGAAGATAAAAGAGCATGACTTTCATTCTCTTTAGTTAATAATAAGAATTGTTCTTCATCAATACGTTTAACATAATTAACAAGTCGTGTATGTTGATTAAATAAAGTTCGTAATCGAGATTTTTCAGATGCATGATGAGAAAGTACGAGAAGATAAGCACTAACCCATGTATCAATAAGAGAAAATCTAATTAAAATAAATAAATAAATAAATTTTCTTTATCAATTATTTTTCTCTTATACTTTTCTCCACCAATATAGGGTTGATTATGTCTTGCTAATTCATTTTCAATTATAGATAAACATTTGTCAGCATCAGCATAAATCTACGAAAAAAATAAAATAAATGTTTAAATAGAAAAACAAAAGAATTATTTACTTGATTTTGTTGTTCATTTGAATATGAACATTTATTTGCAACAATATTTAACCATGTTTGAGCTGATGTAAATTTTTTTCGAATATAAAATAAACTTGTTGGTAAACCAATTGTATAATGATATAAAGCTCGATATGATGCTCTATTTATATCATCAAACCATTGTGAATGCATCTGTATAAAATAAGAAGAGATTTTAATGAAGCAATTAGAAAATAATACATACAAATGCTGGAACAAATAGACGTTTAAATGTCGCTAACAGAGCAAGCTCATCAGCTGTTGGCTAAAAGAAATATTTTTCTTATATTTAAATCATTCAACAACAAAAAATACTAACATCTAATTTTCGACTATATTGATATATTGAATCAAAGCCGACATAATGTTTATTATTTGAAACATCATACAATGTTGGATAAGTTCCTATAAAAATAGATTATTTTCTGATAATAATAATAAAATATCTAACCAAATATCATAGATAATTGTCGATTAGCATTAACAATTGAACAAGAATATCCTTGAGCACGAAGCCATAACTAGATATTAAATTACATAAACATGTATATTTAAAATAGCTAGGATTATCTTACTGAAGCTGCTAAAGAATTTGGATCAATCGTTATTAGATGTTTACAACTAGGCCATACAGAAAGTACAAGATTTTCCCGTACTTGATTCTAAAATAGACAAAAAATTCTAAATTTTACGAGGAAAAAAACAAAATTCTTACATGCGAAATTGTTGTTTCCATCTCGAACGGCGAACTCATATTATTGTATGCGAGTCTTGATTAATGAAAAATAGTCGAAGAAGACATCTATCTTTTATGTAATTGATCAATAGAATCGATCAATCAAATTTATAGTATAAACTACTACTAGGTACATAGTAAGTAAGGTATTTGTACGATAGTGCACAAAGATTTTAAAAATGGCCGGTTCATTAAAAAATTTTCGATCAATTTGTAAGAAAATTATTTGTATTGGGCGTAATTATAGGTAGAAGAAAGTCTTTAAATAATTCTATTGAAAAATGTCTTCTATGATTTTTTCAGTGAACATGCAAGTGAACTGGGCAATGTAAATAAATCCACATCATTCTATCGATTTATTAAGATTTTTCTTTTAAGGCTGTCCCAACTAAACCAATGATCTTTATGAAACCACCAAGTGCTTTTATTGTGCCACCAAATGAAATCAAAGTATTGAATATTCATGAATAATTACAAAAAAAAAAAATTTTTCTATTCAATTAGATTCCATCTGAATGGGATGAACTTCATCATGAAGTTGAATTAGGTGTTATCATAGATAAACAATGTCAAAATGTTACGAAAGAACAAGCTGAAAAAAATATTGGTGGTTATTGTCTTGCATTAGATATGACTGGACGAAAAGTTCAAGATCAATTAAAAAAACAAGGTCATCCATGGTTACTCGCAAAAGGTTTTGATACATCTTGTCCATGTGGAGATTTTATTGATAAAACCCAACTTAATTTATCTTCATCTGTTAATCTTTGGCTTAGTGTTAATGGAAAAATGAAACAAAATGGTCATACACGTGATATGATCTTTTCGATTTCGGATTTAATTGTTTATATATCAAAATATATAACATTAGAACATGGTGATTTAATTTTAACTGGTACACCAGCTGGTGTTGGACCAGTTAAACGAGGTGATCATATTGAAGCTGGACTTACCGGTGAAAATAATTTTAAGTATTCAATGAAATTTAATGTGGCCTCGAAATAAATGCGAACAAAGGCATTCTTTAATTTATTTTTTTCTCCTCACAAAATAGTTTATTTACTAAATTGATGCAACACGTAGTTTTTATTAGTTTAAAGATAAGATTTTTTGAATGATTTTTATTTATATTGCAGATAGTAAAAAATCCATAATACAAAAAAGAGAATGACACTTATTGCTAAAGAAAAATTGTTAGCACTTTTACTTGAATATCCTAAACCAGCTGGTATTGTTATGGGTTATGGTACAGCCGGTTTTCGTGCTCGAGCTGATACACTTCCATGGCAAATGATTCGAATTGGTCTTCTAGCTGCAATGCGTTCTAAAGTTAAACAAGGTTAGTTTTTCTTTTTGCTAATGTTATCATAAATTTGTTTTTTTGTTTATAGCTTGCGTCGGTGCAATGATTACAGCTTCACATAATCCTGAACAAGATAATGGTGTTAAATTAATTGATCCATATGGTGAAATGCTTGATCAAACATGGGAAGTCTATGCAAATAATTTATCTATGCTTGAGTAAAATTAAATTTTGATAAAAATAAGATTAATTTGTTATTTTTCATTAGTGATGATATTCATGTATTATGGGATTATTTGGAAACCTTAATGACTCAATTGAATATTCAACCACATGATGAAGCAATTGTTGCTATTGCATATGATACTCGGTTTGTTAAAGAATATAATTATGCAAAGTTTAATTACATATGTATATTTATTTAGACAAAGTAGTCCACTCTTGGCAAGTATTCTTAAACGAGCCGCCCAAGCTTTATATACAACTATTATGGATTTTGGTAAGAAATTAAGTTTTAAAAAAAATTTGTTTTTAATTTAATTTTTTAAATAGAACTTATGACAACACCACAACTTCATTATGCTGTTCGTTGTTATAATGATGATGGTCAATATGGACATTATACTGAAGCTGGTTATTTTGATAAATTATGTACAGCATTTCAAAATTTACTTGAAGTAAAATCATATTATTTTCATGAATTCATCAAAATGTATATTTTCTTAGATGACACCTAATACTCAACGTCTTGAACCACTTGCTGTTGATGCTGCAAATGGCATTGGTGCTATGAAATTAGCATATATGCGTCAAACATTAGCTAAATTTATTCAAATTGAAATTTTTAATGATGGAACAAGAGGACATTTAAATGATAAAGTAGATTGATTAGAAGAAAATTAAAAATAATTTTTCGTTTATTTAATTTAGTGTGGTGCTGATTATGTTAAACTTTATCAAAAAACACCTGAAGGTTTACCATTAGCAAGTTATACGAAATATTGTTCGATTGACGGTGATGCTGATCGTTTAATTTATTTTTTTATGGATAAAAATCAACAATTTCGTTTACTTGATGGTGATCGATTTTCCGTCTTATTTGCTTCTTTTCTTTCAATTAAATTGAACGAAGCAAAACTATTCGATGATGTTAAAATAGGTGTCATACAAACAGCTTATGCTAATGGTAGTTCAACAAATTATATCGTCAATACCATGGTAAAAATATTCCCAAGATTAATCATCATAACTAAAATCTTTCTCTTCTAGAAAGTTCCAGTAGCATGTGTACCAACTGGTGTTAAACATTTACATCATAAAGCACTCGATTATGATATTGGTATTTATTTTGAAGCTAATGGACATGGAACAGTATGAGAATTTATTTGTTTATTAAATGTCATAATTACTCTAAAAATTTATTTAGATCATATTTAGCGATGATTTAAAGAGTAAAATTAAATTAGCAATCGATGATCCCAAGTAAATTTTGTTATATGTGAAATTGTCTATTGTTCTTTTTTTGTTTTCGAAATAATTTAGTCGAACAATGGAAGAACGTTTAGCTGCAAATCAAATACGAGCATTTATTAATATAATTAATGAAACTGTTGGTGATGCTATTGCTGATTTATTAGCAACTGAAGTTATTCTTTCGATATTACATTTAAATCTTGATGGATGGTTAAATTTATATGATGATTTACCACAACGACAATTGAAAGTAGCAGTTAGAGATCGAACTATGATACAAACAACGGATGCTGAACGACGTTGTATTGCTCCTGCTCATTTACAAGATTGTATTGATGAACTTGTTTCGAAATATCCATCAGGTCGTGCATTTGTTCGGTAAGAAAATAATTAATTATATTGTTTATTCTTATCATTTCTTTTCAAGACCATCGGGTACTGAAGATATTGTTCGTGTTTATGCTGAAGCAACAACACAAGTTGAAGCTGATAAATTAGCTGATGAAGTACGTAAAGTTGTAGAAGAATTAACCAAGTGAACAAAGCATACAATCATGTTATTATTTCGTTATATTTTTCTTTTGGGAATGTTTATTTTATTCCTTCATATAGTGATTGTTATTTTTTATTCGACTACATTTTAAATATATATTTTAAACAATTTTATTTCAATAATTTTTCTGCTTTTGTAAATATGGCATTGAAAAGAGATGATAAATGATAAGGATATATCAAAATTGTGTGTTGAAATGATGATGATGATGAAGATAACTAAAAAATATCATTTGTCTATAAAAGAAAAGAACAGAATGTAAGAATTTTTTCTTGCTTAGTCAAATAGTTATTTATTGACTGGATAAAAAGAAAATAATAATGGGTTTAAATGAACGTCCTGCTTGTTTACGTAATCTTTTTCATGAAATATTCTTTGTGAGTACTTTGTCATGCGCACAATTACTTACACAAGCTGCTCTAGGAAATGTACTTGTTCCATTACATATAGTTGGTCCAGATATTGGTATTACAAATGTTGCTGAATTACCATGGACATTAGCTGCATATTCTCTAACTGTTGGTGTTTTTATAATGATTACAGGACGATTAGGCGATATTTTTGGACATAAATTATTAGTTATGTATGGATATCTATTTTTTTCCGTTTTTAGTTTTTTAACTGGTATGGCTGCATATGTAAATAATGGAATCTATTTTCATATAATGAGAGCATTTCAAGGAATAGGTCCAACTATGCTTTTACCTAATGCTGTTGCATTACTTGCTCGAACATATCCAGCTGGTTTAAGAAAATCAATTGTTTTTTCAATATTTGGAGCAACAGCACCTACGGGATTTATTATAGGTGCTCTATTTGGAAGTTTCTTTGCTCAATATGTATGGTGGCCATGGGCACATTGGGCATTAGCTATATTCTGTTATATTCTTGCTATTTTAACTTACATTATAGTTCCAAGTGAATTATCAAAAGCGGTTCATCCCGAAGGTAAAACTGATGTTATTGGTTCAATTATTGGAATAACAGGTCTTATTCTTTTCATATATTGTTGGAATGAAGGACCTGTTGTAGGTTGGGATAAACCATATGTCTATGGTGTATTAATTGTTAGTATTGTTATTATTGCAATTTTTATTATTGTTGAAATGAAAATAGAAGAACCAATTATGCCATTATCGATTTGGTCAGTAGCTGGATTTCCAGGTGTTCTTGGATGTATGGCTTTGGGTTGGTCAAGTTTTGGTATATTTATTTATTATATTGTTCAATTTCTTGAAAATATTCATCATACATCACCATTATTAACAACAGCTATGCTAACACCACTCGTCATTTTTGGTCTTATAGCAACGATTGTCGTTTCTCAACTTTATGGTCGTATACCTGCTCATTATTTACTTATGGCAGCTATGATTTTCTTTTGTATTGGTAATATTCTTATTGCTACAGCACCACCTGATCAAACATATTGGTTACAAGTATTTATAGCAACAATAATAACACCATTTGGAATGGATATAAGTTTTCCTGCTGCATCATTAGTTATAAGTAATAGAATGCCAAATCATCAACAAGGTGTAGCTGCAAGTATGTTAAATACAGCAATTAATTGGTCGATTTCATTAGGCTTAGGCATAGCAGGAACTATTGAAAGTATAATGATTAAACAAGGTAAGACACAACTGGAAGGTTATCGATATGCATTATATGCTGCTATTGGACTTAGTGGATTGGGTGTTCTTGTTGCACTTATCTTCTGTCGTGTACCTAAAACAACTGGTCCAGATGAGACAGAACCATTACTACAAGATCAACCATCTACTAGTACATATGGTACAATTATAAACAGTGATGCATGATTGAATGCAGCATTTTCGAAAATATGATTCTCTATGAAATAGTATGGAATTCAAGAGAAAATCATATTCATATAATAATGGGTTAAATAAATTGTTAATCAATTAATTGAGATATTTTTGTTTTTTCGTAAATAATAAAAACTGAATCAAATTTTATGCAGTTGTTCATTATCTTTCGCATGATGGATAATGGATTACACAGTAAAAACTACAAGAAATCTTTCGTTAACAGAGAATTTTTTCTATTACAATCATTCTGTAATCTTGTTTATTGAAAATAAAAAAATATATAAGGGGTGGGTGTTATACTCAAATTGGTACCCACACCCACATTCTAGATAGTGTAAGAACAAAATACATTTTATTACCACGATAAGCACAATTTAAAGTGTCGATATTCGATATCATAATTATCAAGTAATTTTTCATTATCAATCATTGTTTTCAATGGTTCAACTATTATATCATTACCAGTGATCACTATTAATGACGCAAGATAACTGTTATTAATCCTATTCAACAACAAAATTCGTAGGAATGATATGAGATCTATTTTACCGTTCACAATCTGTAGACATTCCATTCGAGGAAAAAGTTTATTGATCAATTGAACGGTGACAAATGAAAATATATCAATAATTTGTACATTCTTCACATTATTATTGCATTCCAAATCAACTGTATCAGTTAGTTGATTTGACCATACTTCTGTCTCAGATGATGATTGTAGGTCAAGTACCAATTTTTGAACATTCGGCATATGATTAAGTAATTTAATAAAACAATTCAACCATTGATTATTAATTGAAATATTTAAATAAGTAATATTTGTTAAAATTATAATATGACTTAGATTATCAATGAATGAGTTAATATTGATCGTGTCATTATCTGTAAGCCTTAATTCAGTTACACGAGGAAATTGAAATGGAAAATCGGCAACAACATTTCGATTTTGGATCGCCATTCGCGGTCCGATAGATAAATTGAAGATTGGATCTTGGTATGAGCATATATTATTATTTAAATAATCATCAGTTTCACAAAACTCTAGCCTAAAAAAAAATTAGTATTTCATAACAAATATATTCTCTCATTGATTATACCAGCGTATTTGAGTTGAATAGAATGATAAATAAGGTGGTCCGTATGAAGAGTAACAATTGCAATGCCTATGTGTGAAAAACCATCGTCGTTCGATCCAAAATCGAGAAGAAAATTGATCAAGTAATGCTCGACACTGATTACTTCCATCAATATCTTCCATTAACGGACCATGATAATAAAAAAGAAACGTACGCAAATGTGGCATACGATGTAAAATTAGTTGTTGCCATTGATAAGCATCTAATAAGGTAGTTCGATGAAAAGTTGAAACTCGTAATAATTCGAGTTTAAAACCAACGATTGCAATGAATGATGCAAAAGCATTAAATGGTAAAAGCCAATAACGTATTGAAATACTAGTTAGATTGCATGGCAATATGGATTGTTCTATAGGTATATACCTATCATCCGGTATACGTTCAACTGATAAATGACGAAGTTGAGGTGTATATGATAGAACACTGTATATACTTGCAAGGTCATGTGAAATATTAGAGGCAAGATATTCAAGAGTCATACTTCGTTGATCATTGTTCGTAGCCGGTGGAAATGAATGTATAGAATCCCACTTTAAAAACGAAAGTGTAGCATATTTTAAAACAGGTAAGCGACATATTGATTGAAAAATAATACATGATTCCCTACAATTCCAACCAAAGATATTGAGGGAAAATAGTCGAGGTAATTGTCTTAAACTAATAAGAATAGAAAGGTTATCATTTACATTAAAATCATTAAGTACGAGTGATTCGAGACGATTAAATGATGTATCAATAGGAAATGATGTAAAGAAATTTTTCATGAAAAATGGTTTTGATAATTGTAATGATATAATTTGATTAATATATGGACGAATAATATTGCTCGAACGTTTGTTAAAACTAGTTTGTGACATAAATGAAATATTCAATTTGAGAAGGAAATAAGAACTATTGATGAGATGTTGGAAACGATTATTAAGATTAGAAAAAGCTTCTAACATATGATAACCATCAAGATAATCGAAAATATCGAGTAAAAGTTCGTTTGAAAGATCTTCGAAATGAGTTGGTGACCTATAGTTTCATAAGAAAGAAAACTATGAAAAGAGAGAGATTACAAACTTTTCTTATTACTTACACCATTTTTCGTTTAGTTTCATTCAAGTAGTGAATGGACTGGACTGGACTATTGAAACAAACATCATAGTGCATATATTCTTTTAGGAGAGAATGTAGTTTTTGTTTTACTTACCTTTTCATTTTCACTTTTAGTTATTTAGACAAATGATTATTTTGAATTATGATAAACTTTTTATAGTACGCTAAAAAAGAAGAAGCATTTGTCTAGGCAAACTGAATCAGACGGTATTACGGACGAGAAAATTATTAAGTAGGCCATCGCAAGATGTTCAATCAAAGTTCAATATATAGAGAAATAGACAAGTTTTCAATTGATCAGTAAATATGTGAATGAGGGTGTGAGTATGGGTATGGTATAGGTGAGGGTGTGTCTGTCGATGCTGTCTCATCATTCACCTACACCCTCACAGTAAAGCTACAAAAAATCTTTGGATAAAACAGAGTTTTTTTCTATTACAATCATTCTGTATTCTTGTTTATTGAAAATAAAAAAATACTTATATTACAAATAAAAAAATATATATGGAATTTAACATTCATTATATAGAAACATTCTTGTTTCTTGTGCATTTTGCATTAATTGAGTCGTTTTATGAATACGAAATTTAACTGGACAATCAGTTGATGAACATTGAAACCATCCATCTATTCGATCCGAACAACCATAACATAATCTTTGTAAATTTGCATGTTGTCGTTCGAATTTATTTGCTTTATTTTCACATATAATCATTGTTTCTGATAAATCTTCTTCATTTCGACATTCATTACATAACGGTGTATTTGTTAATTGTAAACAAATAACACAACGTTTTCGTAATTGATTTAATTTTAAAAAATTTTCATCAGATATTTGTTCTTGTTGTTTATCATTTATATTCATATCCAATGATAAATCATCAATCCATTTAAAACAATTGACTCCAATCAATGCTAAACAACGATCAAGCGCTGGAAGTATCTGTTTTTTTATATAATACATTGAATGAAGTTTAAATTCTGAATTTAATTGAAGGACATTATCTAATGTCCAAACACAATCAATTAAATTTGCATTTGGATATTCAAGATTTAAACCAATAAGATATGGTACACGTTCACCTTGATTTGGTTCAGCTAATGAATTTGTTTTAGCTCGTTCCATTGCTATACGTAATGCTGGTACAGGTGCGGATGGATGATATTTTGTTTTTCCACGATATTCTTTAGCAAATATAAAATCAAGTAAATTATAATGATTTGTTAAGATTTTTTCACATTCAGATTGTACATAATGACGTACACGTGTTATATCTTTATTTTGAAATAATAATTTAAGTGAATGTTGAAGAATTTTTGAGACAATTAAACATGTATCACGACGAACAGTTTCAATACCTTTGGCATCAAATTTACCATGTTTTTGATCGACTGTCTCATAGGATATACCAACATAACGTTTTTTTGATGCTAAAACACTTTGCATATAGATTTTTTCGAATTTAATTTTTATCGGTGTTGGATATAATTGATTAAGCGCTTTAACAAGTAAATGTGATTGTTCAAAAGCTTGTGAACGAGTTGAATGAGGAAATTGAATAAATAAAGAATCCTAAAGAGTATAAAATAATATGAAATTTCTAAGAGATAAAAATGATAAAACATACTGTATCACCATAAACAACACGACCGCCAAACTGTGGATTAGTTTTTATAAAATCAATGGCACGTTCGAGAACAGTACGAGCAGTATGAACAATAGTATCACCAATCTATTATAAAATTTATTAGATAAAAGTTTCAGATCATATATCTTACTTCGACACTTGGCATTCGTCCACTAAAACTAGCGGATGTATATCCAAATGTAACATTCGCTATTAATTTTAAACACAATTGTCTTGCATCTAATGTTCTATATAATGTTGATTTTTTATCAATTAATTTCATTGTATTTTTAACCATGACACGTGTTGCTAAAATTTCTTCTAACATAATAGGTAAAATTCCACGTCGTATATGTTTATTAACAAATGCAATACCATTTGGTGAACAAAAAACATCTGTATCAAGATTTAAATTTGATAGAATTTTATCTGATATGGATAATGATGTACAACCAAATTTAAATGGTCCTTGTTTATCAAGTTGATCAATACGCCCGAGACATGTTGAATAACAAATATTATAAGCAATTATTATCGATGGGTAAAGTGATTGAAAATCTAAGACAGCAATTGGCGTAAAATATATCGTTGAAATAGGTTCAAGAGTTAATGGAATACATTCTGGTGCACGCATATGTAATCGTTGCATATTATCTGGAGTAACAGTTACAAAATTCAAACATTTAGCAAGTCGAATCATCATTGATTCAACACGATATTGAGAACCACGTGAAAGAACCTTTATAAATATGAAGAAAAAAAATTATGCTTAGACTATCTAATGATTCATGATATTGTCAAGGATAAGTTTCAAGCTATTTAAGATCTAATGTTACATTTAATACGTTTCTATTTTTGGAAACACTATCTATTGAATAGAAATAGTGAGAGGTTACATGAATTTCGACCCACGGATTTTTCATCCCAGACATTTGAACCGACCGTTGACAGAACTAATTAATTAAAGATTCAGTCCGAGAATTTATTCTGACTTTGGATCCGGATCGAATGTCTGAGACGAAAACTTCGTGCTCCCATAGTAAGAGCTAACTATGGAAAAACAGACTCGAAATCGAAACTTGCCGAACATGGATAAATCCTAAGTTGTACATTCTTCCGAAATGGGGTAATTCTAAAACCTATGCCTTAATATTGTATAAAATTATTCTTACATGATAAAATTCAATTCCATAAATTCGTGCAAATTCCGATGTTTTATTAATTAAATCTAATTCATAAATAAGTCGAAAATTTCCTATCGAATGTGTCCAACCATAATCTAAAAATGTTACAAAATCTCTTAAACCAAATGATGGATTTGTTCCTAAAATTAAACCAACAATAATAAAAAAATTGAACTTTTCCAATAAGAAAAATCTAACCTTCCTCGATAAACCATTTCGAAAGTAAATTTAATTCATAATGTGGTACACGTTCATGTAATACATGATAAATCACATTTTCAAATGTATAAATATTTAATGTTATTTCACTTCGTAAAAGTTTCCATAAATCAAGTAATACTCTTCCAACTATCATTGGTACATCACTACCATCCGCACTCATATGACTTCGTGCACGTGTTATATTATCATATTGTTCAGGTATACGACTAAATTTAATTAATAAATCTAAATTATATTTTAATTTTGCTCGTTTTATTAAATAATATAAAGATAATTTCATATCATAACAAATAAATATATCAGGATCAGTTTGTTGAATTATTTTTGAAAATTGTTCAATTAATTCCAATTCATTTTTAACAAATTCTATTGTTTTATTTTCTAATGAACGAAATGATTTTTGTAAAAGTTCAGGTTTTATTATACGTAAATAATTCGTTGATAAAAGAACTGATGATTGAATTTTCCATCCATCTAATGTTTCATTAGCTATTGTATAAAATATTGAACATATTTCATCTTTATCCAGTGCAAATGCATATGTTTCATTTGTATGACAAAAAATTTCAAATGAAATTATAGTTAAATATTGACATTCATGTACAAGTTCATTTTTATTTGAATTATCATTAACAAAATCATTTGAACATGAATCACTTGTATTTGAAACCAAGCGTAATTTAGATTCAATACCAATTTTATTAAGAAATGCATTTGCTTTCGTTGAATCTTTATGTAAAAGATTAGTACGAGATTTTCTTGATATATCGTCTTTTTTTAACAACCTATTTTAATTGAAAAAGAAAAGTGATTTTTATTGTTTTCAAAGATAGGGTGTGGGTGTGGGCGGAGATATGGGTGGCCGTGAGTGCGAGTCAAAAGACAGAAAATACCCACACTCGCATCCGCACCCACGCCCACACCCACACCCTTCTATAATTACTTTGCATGAGATATTTTGTAAAGATCAGGTTGAGGTGGTGGTTGTAATGGTCCATACCATTGATCACTTTTCATGGAAAGAAAGAAAGGTATTGTTTTTTTTTGTTAATCGTAAGTTTTCTATACCCTTTATCAAGATTAATAGAAATTTTTTCTTCTTCAATTTGTTGAATGTTAGTACGTTGGTGATGTTTAGAAATATATTCTGGAATATTTGAAAACTAGATAATTGAATTTAGTTTTAATAGATAAGAAAATTAAGTGGAAATTTTACTAATTTAACAAATGGTGTTTCATCTTCGATATCTTGGCAGATAATTTGTGTAGAAATTTTTTGATTATAAATATTTGTAGTTCGTTTTCGTAGAGGTGGTCGTGTTATTGTTTCTAACCAACAATAATTCGATGATATATCATCATTTTTATTTGGTATTTTCATGAAAAAGTTTTGTAAGTAATTTTTTGTTTCTTCACGTTCCATTTCACTTGTTTGAGATGATGTTTCACTATTTGTAATTATTAATGGTGGTGATGGAATAGTTAATGAATCAGATTCAATATCTAATATTGAATTATTAACCATTGTTGTTTCTCTATATTAAATGAAATAAAGAAAAATATACATACAACACAAAATTGATTATTTACATATCTGTATCTAATAATTCTTCATCATCAAGTTGTTTAACATCAGCTAAAATAAAGAATAATGATGTATATATATACTAAAATATCGATTAAAAGTATCCAGACCAGCTAAAATACTATCATTTTCAATTCCTTGCGAGTCACTGATTTCATCATTAACCATCATTTGTACAAGAATTTCATCATCAACTTGTTGACCTAATGAGTAAAAAATATATATCATCATAAACTGTAGTTTAAATATAATTACTTATTGAGTTGACTCGTTCGATTTGTGCGAGATTTATTGTTGTATCATGATCACTTATAAGTGAACTTACTGGTGATGTTTCGTCAATAATAGGTGGAGGACTGAAAAGATAAAATTCTTATAGGGGAATGTTTAATTTATGAGTTTACCGTTTTTCAATATTTGTTTTAAATTTTTCCTGATGACGAAGTTCAGCAGCAAATGGATTTGTTCGAAGACGCTCTATTGAAATTGATCAAAAATCAAACTAATAGTTTTCATATTAATAAAATCAAACCTGGTGAAGTTGGAGGTGTTAAACGAGTAGTAATATTTAATTTTGTACGTCTAGTTCGTTCACCATTCCAAAGAGCTTGTAAACCCGGATTAGCAATACCTTTACCTATAAAGAAAACTTCAAATGAATAGAAATTTTATTTCAAATAAAACAAACCTATTTGAGGTTGTTCATTGCAAATATCATTAATATGTACATCATATTCAAGTTCACAAGATGATATGCGTTGTGTAGATGATATACTTTTTTAAAGAAAATCGTACAAAATTTTTTTATTTGAATTTCGCAAAAATGTTTTACTTTGCTAAATTGACGAAAGTTATATAGAAAGACAAAAAAACAGTGTGTTTTAAGTTTTACTTGTTATTCTCGATGAATTTCGTTGATTCGCATTATTAAATAAAATAAAATTCATTCCATATAGATTATAATCAATAAAAAACTAATTAAAAATAAATTCGATTTTGCTGTTATGAATAAAATATTATACTTGAAGATTAAATGGAACATGAGCTTCATGTGGTTGAAATTCTTGATTCATTACAGCTCCAGCTAGAAGAAGATCGGCCGCTCTTAAATATTTTGATCAAGTTTACATAAATTCTCTAATCTATACACTTACTTTCGAATAACTGCTGGATTATAGAATTCAATTTTCCAAAATTTAGTCACTTTTTCATGATAACCATATATTGGTCTAAATAAAATCAAATTTGCTTCGTATATATTTCAGAAATTTCAACAAGGAATCTATACAATAATTCAATTAGACTTATATCATAGACATGTTTGGCTTCCGTATCTCCTTTTTCAAATGACAAATTAATCGCCATATCTAAACTTTGTGCCAATTGTTCACCATATCGTATTTCATCTGTCGGTGATTTCACGAGTAAATATGGAAAAACTCCATGCAAATGAAGACATACTTTTTTTCCTGAAATAACAAAAATATTCGTAGAAAACAAATTATATCTTATTTCGATTTCTAATCTAGTACCCTCTTCATTCGGTCCGAATATTCGAATGACTGGTACTTGTTTTATCTGATGTTGTAATTTAGAATAAACAGGATCGAATTGTGTATTAACCGATGTTATATAATGATCTGTGAGTACAATTCGTACTGATATCATGCTTGAATCTATTTTATTCTTTAAAAAAGAAAATAATATACAAAATGCTTTGTTTTTGGTTATTATTTTCCTTCTTGTGCTTTGCTTTTTTATTCATCAATATCATCCATAAAACAAAACTTAATAAAAAAACAACAAAAACAGAGTTTATCGAGATTGAATCTGAAGCGGCGTTGATTCATTTGGATCTTGCTTTTTCATTTGGATGATGAGTTGATGATTTATTTCGATCTTTCACGCATACCTAAAATAAAAATAAATCTTTCTATAAATAAAACTGAAATACAAATGTTACAACTTACGTCTTCTTTTACGTTTCAATCTACGCATACGTTTCTTACGCCATTTAGCTCGCATTGTTAATCAATGTAACTGATGCGAGATTTAGAAATGAAGTGAAGAGAAAAAACAAGTTAGCGATAAAATAACTATGTTAGGTGAAATATTCCTATTGGTTTAAACATTGGATCATTTAACCTTCATTATGTTTTAACACATCTATGCACTTTGTTAATTTAATATATTAAATTGAGTTTTTCGTTAAATTTCAAATAAAACTATGAAATAAATCAATTGAAATTTATTTAAATAAATTTATACGTCAATTTAAATTTCTTTGTTCGCGGCTGCCGATATCGTTCATTAAATATCGACAGATTTCATTCTTTGTCTTGATATGAATTTTTCATAATTATCAACGTTCATCATCATCTTTTTTTTCTTTTAGATCGTTTCGTTCCCTTTTCCTCTTTTTTAATAAATCTCCCCCAATTATGCGCCCATCAATTAAACGTCCAGCAGTTATTATACCGCGTCCAACAAAAGCCTCGTTAGCTCGTCAATCAAAAATTCGCAATTCAATTCTTGTTTCAACAACAAATACATTAAAACCAATACAAAATGAACAAATTAAAAGTGAAAATGATTTAACTACAATTGGTCTCAACAAACAACAAGTACAACAAGCTCAAACACGACGTGCCAGTACCGTTTCAAAAAATAATATTATATTTAAACGACGACGTTCATTACATAAATTAGCTGTTATTGTTTCGGGTTCATCAATAGATAATGAAGCTGGTGATGGTGAAACCTTAAAACAAGTTGTAAGTTTATAGAAAAAAATAAAATAAACGAAAGATCTCTTTTTTTTCTGTTTTTGAAAAGATCGTTGCTTCATTAACGGAAAATGTCAAAAAAATGGATCTTGTTGAACAACCGAAAACAAAAAATTATATTAATAATGATAATAAAGAAAATCGTTCATCAAAACGTCCAACATTAACAAGTGCAACACGTAAGAAGCCAATACAAATACCTATACAAATACTTGATAATTATGCTGCCGAAGAATTTATAATTGAAATTATTGAACAAGCATTAACAAATGATGATTTACAATTAGATGAAGATGACGAACCAATTGATCCAACTTATGCAATGGATTATGTTGCAGATATTATGAATTTATTATATGCATTAGAAAAAAAATATCCATTACAATCAACATTTTTAACAAATCCGCCATCATCATCAACAACATCTTTTCCGTTAACAACAATGGCTACAATGGCAAATGGTAGTGCAACACGACCATGGAAACTTACAACAAAACATCGTACTATTCTCGTAGGATGGATTATACAATTATTCTATGCAAGATTTCATTTATCACAAGATGCTATGCACATGTAAGAGCAATGTTTTTAGCTAATAGAATAGTTTGATTTTTTTCGAGTAATAATGGTATTCGTTTAGAGACATCTGTTTAGTTGTAATTATACCCTTATCGGTTTGTCCACGGGAGAAGGTGATCCCATCACGACCGTTTTTAATGAATGCGAAGTTGCAGGCAACTTTGCAGTGCTCCATTTTAAAAAGCACAATTCGTCGTCTGAAATCGCAAATGTATTCAATCCTAGATATTAAGTTATTTATGCGTTATAAAACAAACAAAGTGTGACGGAAACACGTTTGACGTAAACAGGCCGTTATGCTTTTTTACATATGTAATCATGTAATTAAGTTTTTATTTATGAGAATACTTATTAAATATAAACAAAATTTGGAATTAAGTCTAAATATGAGTTTTATATTTGGTGCCTGGAAATACTTCGCAACTCTCTATTACGAATTTTTCTAGGGCTATTTTCATAACTGTGAAAGACCTATAAGTTGAATATGCCTATGAGCGATGCACTAACACTACAACGGAAAGCAATAGAAACTTATTGTTTCCTCTAATTTCCTTTGTTCTATTATTATAAATATATATATATATATCTAATATTAGATTTAAGTGATATTTTATTACTACTAATAGACATGAGTAATCCATCAACTAAATAATACGTATAAAATTTTATTTATTTATATATATTTCAGTTGCATTGGTTTACTTGATCGTTTTCTTCAACAATGTATGACTTCAACAACACTTGGTTGTGGATTTGTTACACAAAAAAATTTACAATTAATTGCTGTAGCTACATTCCTAATTGCAGCTAAAGTTGAAGTAATTTTATTAACTAATAAAACATCTTTTTTATCTTATCGATATTTTTTAGGAAACTCATCATCCACCTGTAGATGAACTTGTTTATGTTACTGATCATACATATACAAGTGATCAAGTTAAACGAATGGAAAAGAAAATTCTACATGAATTACGCTTTGAACTTAATCGACCAACAAGGTAAAATATATTTTTTTGTTTTATTTATGAATTACCTTTGAAATCTTTAGTCTTCAATTTCTTCGCCGTTATTCATTTATATCAAGTGCTGGTGATGAACAACATGCTATTGGAAAATTTCTTATTGATATGGCATTACTTGATGTATCATGTATTAGTTTAGCTCCGTCACTTATTGCTGCAAGTGCAACATATATTGCACGTTATATTTTAAATTCAGATCGATCATCATCAACATTTGAACAATATTGGCCAATTGAATTACAAAATCGTTCACCATATAAAACTTTTGAATCAATATCACATGGAATTAAAACTTTAGCACAATTTATTGATAAAAATTTAACAGGAAATAATTGTAAAGAATGTGAAATACTTATTAAACGTTATGAACATGAACAATTATCACAAGCAAGTTTGTATTGTGTACAACAACGAACACTTATTCAGAAATTAGCAAATGAAGATAATTGATATATGTATCTATCTACTTCTTCTTCTTATTTTTTTGTTGTTCTGTTTATTCTTTCTCTATTGTTCAAATGAGCACTGTGCTTTCGAAAATGATGATATATGTTTGTTATTTATATATTTTTTTTGTGTATCTATACAATTGAATGAGACCTCTATTCTATCTGTTTTCTTTTTTTCTTTATTGTTATTGTTGTATTTAGCTTGCTGATCTCTAGGTATATTCATTTTTTTCTTATTTTTTGTATTGTATAAGATCAACATATTATCATCTTAATTCTCTTTTTTTCCTTTTCGTTTCTTCTCTTCATCGACTTGTATGTGTTATTCCTTTTTCTCTTTTCTCTTTCACGCTCTCTTTCTTTTTTTTCTCTCGCGCAAAATGGAATAGAAACAATAAATTGAATTCAAGGAAATAAAATAAAAAAAATAATATAACATCAAATAAATTCTAATTGTTTGAAACATCTATATTAAAAAAAAATCTTTCTTTTTTTTCTATTAACGAAATTACAATATTCATTCATTATTTGATTCTTATATATAGGAGAGAATCAAAAGTTGGATCATTAGACAACAATTATAATAATGATAATAATTGTTAATTAATGAAAACTTAAAATTAACTGATAATTTTTATGAAAAAATAAAAATGTTCTTTTTGTCATTTTTTGGTTTCCTTTTAATAATGTCTATCTTTTAATTATATTGTAGAACATAATTGACATTATCAAATGGGTTTTTTTCTTTTATTATTTATTACTATGTTTTATCCGACAGTTGAAGGTAACATAAAGTTTTCTTGACTTAATCGACTTTGTCATGTAATTATATATAGATCAATGGGTGTCAGTTTTAAATCCGATTACATTTTCTCAAAATACAATCGAACATGTTTTAAATGACGGTGGTTATGCTATCTTAAGTGCTGGAAGAAATCCTGCTACATGGACCGATTTACAATTAAATGATAAGACAATTCAAAAGCGATCAGAACAATTAGTAGATGATATTAAAGATACTTATGTATATTCACCAGTAATCGGCGTGTATGATGGTGGTATTGAAACAAGTTTTTTTATTCTCTTACATAATGATTCACCAGATGATGAACTTGAAGATCTTATTCAATTAGGTAAAAAATATAATCAAGATTCTATAATTTATGTGCGGAAAGATAAGCCAACAATAGAACAATTAATATATACAAGTGGTCATTATCAAGGTAGACATGTTGAAGGTACAGGATATCAAAAATTGCCATTCAATGTTACTGATAATTATAGTAAAATAAAATTATGTTCAAATATAACTTTTACATTTACATTAAATTTCAATTTTAAATATATGTTTATTGACAAAATTCGGATACGAACTAATCAACTTATTAATCATCATAATCGAAATCACGAAGCTAATAAAGAAAGATGTCGTAATTAATATAAAAAATTTTAATATTTCGTTTTAACTTTAAATTTTGAAAATCAAATAAAAATTGTTTATTTTGTATTTTTTTTTATTCAACATATTCCGATAATAAATTTTTCATTTCTAATCATTCTAATCGATAATGTATGTTAATTCAAACAAAACTTACATAATAATCTAAAAGAAATTAATTACTATCGATGAATTGAATCACTTGGAATATTAAGATAAGCTTTTTGATCGTGCATGTTCAAAATTCTTATATCGGACACAATTCCAAATAAAATAGAACAATATTGGATCAAGTTCATTTATTCTTATTTCTAATCTATATGAGCATTACTTTGCCGAATATTATATCTATTGATTCTATAGAATAAAATATTTTCTCCGAACAATTCAATGCTTAGATTTTTCCTAATAACATCGACTCTGAATATGCATTTAAATTAACTTATTCATACTTTCTTTTCTTTTTACTTAAATAACTAATGTTATAACAGCACTTATGCAAAGTTGAATAACTATCATTCTAATAAGATGTAGATGGATCATTGCTCTTCATGGAAAAGATTAATCTAATGTTCATTTTATAGTTACTATGAATTATACGGAAAGAATTTGTGTGTGTGTGTGTGTGTGTATGTGTGCGTACGCGTAGGCCTATTTATGTTCAACTAATTAATGGCAAAAACGTGTCCTTATATAAACATAGACAATGGAAGAGAAAAAGACAAAATGTGAATGTATTAGTGCCAATGTGTATTCATATGTGTATCTAATCCGAGTTTTATTGATTTGACGAACGAGAGACAGAGAGAGAGAGAAAATCAAGAGTCAATCGTCATCAATTGGACAAATAACCCATAATGATGAAGAAATTCTACATTGGCAACGGATGTTGTTGCGTTGATATGATCAACGTTCTAATAGTTAGTAATAGTATTGCACGATCTTCGGTGCATACTTATCCGATAATTGAAATCACTGTAGCACTAAATGCTCATCGTGTTTAGCTTGTGCATCGCAATCGCTTGAGGGTACTGACTGGCTCGTAGGAACAGTGCCACCACCATCATCACTACCATCTATTTCTCTTTTTCTGTTGATGAATACGAAGTCCTATGCAAGCAAACAATCAATCAATTCTATTGCACACTTTCATCTGAATACATAAATAGATATTTTCAGATTGAATATATATGTATTATAAACAATAAGTCTGTTTAAAGAATATTCAAGTATAAATATGAGTAAGTACTATTTTGTTTTGTTTTTTTTTCCTGGAAAATCGATTAGATATGCTTGAACAAAAGAGATCATAGAAATTGTTAATAGGAAAAAACAAGAAACGAAAAAAGAAAAGATCATCTACAATGATAATTTCTTGTTATTTTGTCGACATAGATAATATAATCAATTTTAAGCAGTTGTTTTTTTATATAATGTGTGACATGTTCGCATATCCTACTATACAATCATAAACTATACACTTGTCAGAAGTTTTCTTAATATGAAAACGGAGAAAGAAAAAACGGCCCGCTTGAGAAATCAACGTGTTGTTAGTTCACCTCCTCCTCCTTCGTCTTCTTCTGTTTCTGCTTCTGCTTCTTTTCCTATTTCACTAAGAACTTATACTAAAAAAATGATTGAATTGTGTACGGACACATAAGTCTTTTTTTCTGTTGAGCTAAATTCTTTTTCTTCCTTCCCTTCGTCTTTTGCCGATTTTAGACGGAAAACACGGGTCATACACAGTAACCACACACTCATATACAATCTCTCTCAAGAGATTATATCTAGATGACATCTAGAACCTAACAATAGCTACATAATATTCTTGTTTACTGTAGATTAGAAAAGCGTGACCGATCTATTCGAGTGATAATGTAAGTCGACAACTGCATGATGCAATTGTAAGACAAAAGAGAAAAAAGAAGAAAAGAGAGAAGCCGCAAATGAAATGCAGTCAAATTAGGTTACTCAAATGCAAGTTAATTTTTCAGTAATGTTATATTTAGATGCTTTTTCAAGTTTCTTTTTCTTTCTTCTCTTTTCTTCTTTTCTTTTACCTTCTTCTTCTTCTTCTCTATGTTTAGCATTTTCATTGCTAGATGTTAAGAATTTCAAAGAGTAATACTTGAATAAATTGACTAGTTTATTTTTCTGTTTCTTCTCTTTTTCTTCTTCTTCTTCTTCTCCTCCTTCTCTATTCTTTCTTTTTTTCAAGTATATTGTTATAAAATACCGATCAGATAGACAATGTTCTTTTCTATAGTTATGTATACCGTGATACATTGTCATCATTGTCTTATTACGCCAAGGCTCAGGAAATAACTATGTGTGCCGAGTACATAATGAATTCTCTTCACCACGTCAAGCAAACAAACCAGTAGGTTTAATCACAAGTAGGTTGATGATTAGGCTATTAGCAGGAGGTCTCACATGCATTTATTAACATCATACTCATTACAGCTAGCATACCATGTTTTCCTTATTAATTCTATATTGAATATAACAACAACTGTGAAGAAGTCCAAGGACTAAATCTTAACATTCAATAAATGACCATATATATATATATATATATGTTGTCATTATCATTGTAGTATTGTGTTCATTAGAAGATTTACTATTCTTTTTACAAGTCGAGATAACTATATAGTCCTTGTGATGATCATGCATGTATGCGTTCTAGTGGATAATACAATTTTTGTTTTCTTGGTTTTACAGTCATCTTTTTTTTAGGCTGATGCCATCGGCTTGACGCCTTTTCCAAACGTTGATTGAATAAGTGTTGTCGCAACCTTGTTCTTTCTCACATTAGTTTTTCTTTCCCACCCCTATATCGAAAAGAAACAAGTTAAAGAAAACGGAGAAGGAAGACGATAATCAAAATCGCAAACCGCTTCTCCGCCTTGTGATTTTAGTAAAGACGAAACAAGAAAGAGAGAGAGAGAGAGAGTATATGTGAGAGAGAGGCAAGGAATGTGAACATGCAATGTAAAAAAAAAGCGACAATAATATTAATAATAACAGTAGAAAAATGAGAGAAGGGGAGGAGAGAAAAAAAAGAGTAAGAAGAAAAAGATTGGAATTTCTTTCCACAACATCCCATGTGTACAAGGAAAATAAAGGAAATCAGGCGCTCATCTGTTTGTGGTAAATGTGCATGAGCGAAGAAATGTGTATTCCGGGAATAAAAAAGAACAGTAACTAATTAGTTCCTATTTTTTTTTGCTGTTCACTTTCACATAATATTGTATTACAATGACATTATCCATCGACAAGTGATCTATATTGAACTATGTTCGTCAAACTGACGATGTCTATCAATCTGACAAGGTTAGTCTTCTAGTCAGTTCGTTCGATACGAATGGTCTGTAACGTTCAATTTACTCAATAAATAAATCATCATCTTCTTCTTCTTCATTGATGCCGACATCATTCGCATAAACTATCGGTTTTTCTTCTTCTTCTTCTCATTTAAGAGAGAGAGAAAAATGAGATGAAATATCTGCCAACCCCTGAAGCGTTTATCACTTAGATATCGTTCATTGTAAGAATTGTAATTGTTTAACGATTTGTCGATTGATATAAACGTTATTCATTCATTTATTCTATATGTCTGTATATGTTTGAGAACAAAGACAGCAGTTGCAACAGTCAGAATACAAAAGATAAGCAATGGAATAGTTTGTTAAAGAAGATGAAAATGATCATTGATAATACGTGCTTGACTTTCATTCTTGTACTCATTTTCTAACACATATAGACTATCATTGATGATGATTATCAACAATAGAGACAATAAGTAGCATCATTTTATATATCAATCATTTCAATAAGATTAAGTAAACGATTTTAGTAAGAAAAATATTTTATAATACACTTCGATAAGTATATGTATATATCCTTAGAGACTTACATTTTTTTTTTCTTCTTTTTTTTTTACAATGTCGAAATTAATGATAAATACATTTGTGAACATTTGAAGAACAGCAAATGCAATGATGATGATGATAAGGAACTAGTTTGTCAGTAAGCGCGCGTAGGGGGTAAGGAATGATTCATTTCAGTTCCTTCCTTCTTTTTTTTTTGTTGACGTTATGAATGAAGGAAAATGATGAAGAAGAGAAAAAAAAGTTTGTCAGACAGATGGATAGAGCTAATCGAATCTGTATCAAAGACTACTCTCTCCCTCTCTTTTCAATCGTTCTACCCGATAGGGAAATGTGCTAGGCCCGATATGATAGTACTTCCTGTATCGGTTGCAGTTGTGAACAGTAAAATGACATCATTTGAATCATTGCATCAGTTTCTTTTTTCTCTTTTTTTTTTGTAGTCGACAACAATTTATAGATGATTTGAATTTAAAACGAGAGAAAATAGCAATCATTTGATTGAACTGATTGGCTATGTTTGTAGTTTGGTTCATTTGCCAATTCTGGATGTTCATTCAAGGTAAATCTAAATATTTTCTTTTTTTTTTCTTATCTTTTTCTTTCTCTAATTAGGAACTACATTGGCTTTATCATTTATACGAGATTTACACAATTTAACTGTTGTCTATAAACCAAATGCATTTGTTTATCATGTTTGTCAAACATCACATCATATTAATTTTAAACGTATACGTTGGCATTATGAATCTTTATACGATAACACAAATGACACTGATACACATTGTAAACGTTTATTTAATAATTCGGATTGTTTTGATTTTTATTATGGACAATCAACAAGTATACTTGTTGTTAAAGAACCTGATATGTACGTGGGAAAATATACATGTCATGTAAATATAAATTCAACTTATGAATTAACATCATCAGGTTATATTGATGTTAAATTACCATTGAATGATATGAATGAATATGATGAGTCAATGGGAATGTATAATGAAAAAGAATTAGGTAAATTAGCTATTCAATATAATGTACCATTTATACTTGATGAAAATGATGTGACATCATTTGGTAAACGTATACAAATTGGTGGGTCATTTTATACCAAATGTCAATCTGTACAAAGTTCATATCCAATACATTTCTTATGGATACATTTAAAGAATACATCTGATATTGAACATTCCGAAAGATTAAAAACAATTCGTTTTATACAAAATGATGGTCAAAGAATAAAAATCCAAGAAACAAAATATTCAAGTATAGTAATATGATATTCTTTTGCTTTTAATTAAATATAAGTAAGAGGTGAAAGAGAATATTTATTCATGCGTAACAAATGACACTTCAATGTGAAATAAAACAGACATAAAAAATTCTTTTCTGGCTTTCGAAGTTTGATGAAGAGCAATATTGAGTAGTATGGTGTTAGACATTATTTGACTTCCGACTGATGAGATGAAAGTAAAAAAGAAAACGACAGGAGAAAGAATACATAAATAAGTACGACTAATCTAACGACAACTTATAATTAATTCTGACTCTAATAACTGAAAATAATAAGAGAAGACTTTTCAACTTACAATGACAAGTATCATTCTTTACATATAGAAAATGTTCCGTTTTAGGTTCTTTATCCATTCATCCTGTTGAACTTGCGGATGATGGAGATTATGTTTGTATAGCTTCAAATAGTCTTGGCCGGTCATTTTCAAGTACACGTTCGCTGATTGTTTCAGGTAAGATTAATCAAAAAAAGAAGGAAATCAAGTCTTGCATGACTATGCTTAGTTTGTTGTTGTTCTTTTTTTGTGCATGTACATAAATTTTGATAGTATTTAGAGCGCATGATATATCCTCGTATACGCGATAATCTTCTTAATCATAGTCAATTTGATCTTCAACATGATGGAATAAAAGAACTTATTTGTATTGCTGATGGTTATCCTGAAGCAGATGTTGTTTGGATTCGAGGTTTTCCTACTTTTTTTTTCTATTTCCAAAAAAAAAATATGTATATAAATTTTCTCAGCATCAGACTCATATCTTCTTGCACGAAATTACACACGTGCAATACTTAAATTTGACAATGAAATGCATGGTGTGAATAAATATATTTGTGAAGCAAAAAATAAGCATGGTTTAACTAAAATATTTATTACTGTTATTATACCAGGTGTGTAACGAGGCAAAAAAAAGCATGAAATAAAATATTATTTACGATATTTATCATAGATAATCAAACAAAACCAATATTAAATTATGGTGATATACAAAGTCGAAGTATTGTATTAAGTTGGCGTGTATCCAATGGACGTTATGATCGTTTTAATCATTTTATTATTTATTATCGACGTTTACAAAATTTCGATGAAGATAATAAAGAAGAAAATGATTTGATAAATTTACAAGATTATAAACAAGTACTTGTTGATCCACGTACAACACAATACAGTTTTACATTTCGGGTTCGCAAATTTCTTGAAAAAAAATTTCGTTTTTTTTAATTTCGACTATTTTAGATGATGGATTTAATTCCGTATACAAAATATGAATTTCGATTAAAAGGTTTTATTGGTGCTACACCATCAGCTTATTCAAATCCTGTTATTGTTAAAACACTTGAAACTGTACCTGAGAAAATTGAAAATCTTCATGGTTATGTTTGGAATAAAACATCTATAGTTGTTCATTGGACACCGCCCAATTCAACTAATGGACCTAATTTTGTAAGGAATATTTATTTCAGTTAGATTTTATATACCAGCAATTTTAGAATTACTTCCATCCTTGAATCTTTTCAGAATAATTACTTTTTCTTATTCTTATAAAAAATTCATTATTTAGTTATTTCATGTACTCAATAATACTCTAAATTTGAATATCTCTACTCTTTTTTGTTTTCTCTTGTTCAAGAAAAAAAACAAATGATTGATGATTAACGTAAATATTTAATTAGTATTTCCTAATCTTCTTACTTTTACGATAAATCTTCTTTTGCTGTTCATTAAAACTTCTATAAATATAAAAACTAAGACATAAATAACAAGGATTGAAGGAAAAATAAACACTGATCAACATTTTAAATAGGGATAAATTCACATGGAAGATAATTATATAAAGAACTAAAAATATTAGGTCAACTAGGAATACCTATAAATAGCTACGCTTCGTAGATTAAAATAAAAGTATGAGTTGAACTTTATATAGACAGATCTAGTAAATATGTTACATAGTTCCTAGAATATTTTTAAATGAAATCTTATAAGTGCTGATTCGAGTACAATGACATATCGAACTAGCAAAATAATAAATCTAACATAGGAGATGTGAATGTGTCTATTATACATTTTTCAGTCTACTAGTTTTTTTTCTTCTGATGGTTGAATATGACTTGTTGAGTTGGATGAGAGAAAATGCGTTTTAAATTAAGAAAATTCTATGACATTTTTATTCAAAAGAACAAAAGACGTGGACCGAAAACTCCGACTTTGATAAATTATTTCCTATGATTTTTTTTAAAAAAAGAAATAATGAATATTATTCAAACATTATGAGGAAATAAATAATTTACTAGACTAATATATTCACTTATGAACATTATATATAGATAAGATGGATTCCTACATTAAGCTTATTATTTTAATGATAAGAATTTTTAATTTATCTCGAATATCATCAATCTTTCTACATCCTAATCTAAATATATCTATTCATTGTTAATCATTAATATTGACATTTTTATTCCATTATTATGTATATTCAAAAAAGTTAATAATTGAGATAAAAATAGTATCTAACGTTGTAAACAAAATTGACAAGTTAACTACTATGAAATTCTCAAGGATATATGAATAATATTTTTAAACTTAAGATTTTATCTGTATAATAAAATAATTAATTATTATGATGGTACTTAATCGCTGAGAAAATATTTACATGAGAATAAATAAATAAATCTGTGTATATCAATTGATTTTTTTATCTTCTATTTTAGTATTACGTTCTCTATTATACAATAAATACATCGATCCCATTTGAACAATGGTCTCATATTATTGTTCGAACATATCCATTTTATACTCTATCACTTTCAATACCTCCAAATCATCTTCTATTTATTCGTATTGCAACCGTTAATGCTAAAGGTTCAACCTTGAGCGATTTTCATATAATAAATCGTACTATAATAAATCATCAATTAATATCAACAATAGACAAATTTCAATGTTCATCGGATGATAAAAATCAATTGTTTTCTATTCAATGGTCTATTGATTATGAATCACGTTTATATATTAATAAATATATATTATATTATTTTGATATAACAGAAAATAATGATGATTTAATACATAAATTACTCATACCAATAAGTTCGATATCAATTAATAAACAACAATCTTATGATTTATATAAATATGAATTTAATAGTTCATTATTTGATTTAAATTATAATCCACATCATATATTAAGATTACATCTTGCTTTTATTGATCACAATGATAATCAGATGACAATGACACAACCAGCAATATATTGTACTTTAACAAGAAAATATGGTAAGAAAATGCAAATTTTTCCTTTATTCGAGAATATAGTTTGTAATCGATTGCTTTTCTAATGGAAATTATATGTCAAGGCTGATCTTTTCTATATCTTATCAATTGCTCATAAGAGCGTACTATATGGTATTTTGATATATATTGCTTTAAGTTTTATCGGAATATTTACCACTGAGTAAACAATTGCTACATTGTATGGAAACGTTTGAAATTTTTTTTTAAAAGAAAAAAAAAAAGATCGGGAATAATAGAAAAGTGTGTACGGACGAGAAAAATCTACTTGAATACTAAATGTTGTAAAAATCGGTAATTGAAGAGAGGGAGTGAGAGAAGAAAAAAGAAAAGTAACGATCATAATCGGAAAATAAGAACAAAAAAAGAACAATGAAGTTGATAGATGTCAATTTTAACTTAGGTTAACTGACATTTTTTCTTCTCTTGATATAAAATGCGGTTCAATCTTTCTCTCTTTTTTTTTCCTCTCATTCTCAATACGTGTCTTGTACAGTTTTTTCATAAAAAAAAAAAGGCAGGTGTCCACCGACTAATGAGCATATGCATACTCAGCATGCAATACATTTTTTATTGCATGATAAGTACATATGAATTGTTAGCATAGATCTAAGTAAAAAAGAGACCACTTATCATAGATTTAGATATATATGTGTCACATGCAAATTTTGCTAGAATGACAAAGAAAAAAAAGCGCGTCTTAATTAAAAGACTATCGCATTAGAAAATCTTGGATTAATAGATCAGTGTGTGTGAAGAAGGATGTTTGTCAGTTGTAATTACTAAAAAAAAATGAATCAAATCATGTTTAACTAATTAGACGACCATCGGTCGATCGAATCATTTTCTTTTTTTTTTGTGCTCTTCTTTTCTTTCTTCCTTTTTTTTTCATCGTTCAATCCATTGTATTTCACAATATGTATTGAGGACAATGCAATTAAGTTAAAGCAATATTTCTCTCTCTTCGAGCCGAATAGACGATGATGATCGAGGTCGTTCTTGTTCTTCTTCCATTCTGTTTCCGTTCTCTCTCTCTGTCTCTCTTCTCCTTTGTATGTCAGAAAAAAAATTGATTGCAAATGATCATCATCATCATCTTTCTCATTTTCTTTCACACTATGCTGACCAGTTTATTTATTCGACTAAATCTATCCATAAACATCACTTCCAATTAATCGAAACATGTATCTATTTCTTCTTATTTGTTAAAAATCATTAATTTATCTAGATAAGATTTAGTTTTCGCTTTTGAAATGTTCTATTTTATCGTTTTTTATTCCCTATTAATATTTTTAACAAATAATTTCGCTCAAATACCAAATAATATTCGTATATTAGCAACTGATAAAGATTTTATACGTTTATCATGGACAAAACCAACTCGTTTACCATTATCTGTTTATGGTTATACGATAAAATATCGACCGATAAATTCGAATCAATCGTGGTTTGTCAAACAAACAAATGATACACAAATTATTTTACATGAACTTCGTCCAATAACAAAATACGAAATTATTTTACAAGCATATTTAAATTCTTCTTATACAGATTCATCTGGACCATCAACACGTATAGAAGCAACAACCGACGAAACAGGTAACTTCCTGTTCAAATAAAATAATGCTTGACTGGCTGGTTACGGCAATGTCTAGACAGAAATACTTATTTTTATACGTGATAGATCAAAGAATATTTGTATATGTAACTATTGTCTTATATTTTGAGAAAATGTTTCATCGTAAATGAATTTTCAATGAACATACTTGACTAGATTCTTTTGTTTTTATTTGAATCCGTTAAGATTGATACTTGAAAAGAATGTTATCAAATAAGATATTCAGATTTCAATTCTAATAGAATAATTTATTAAAATTCATTAAAAAGAAAGTTGAGTGATATGGAAATTTTCATAGGTAATATTAAATAGGTTCAAAGAAATTTCTTGAGAGCTTTTCATTTTCATATAGTTTTTTAAATAGAATATAGAATAACGAGTTATATTCATTTTGTATATATATATATATATATACATACAATTGAATGCAGAAATATTTGAACCTAGATAAAAAAATCCTTTTAAGAAACCTATCAATAGACAAATCAACTCGTCAAATAGCATTTTGGCATTGTGTTAGATTAAGAATATCTAAATATAGATTTGATGTGAATTCAATCTAAATTATAAGATTTCTTCATAAATAATTATGTTAGTATAAGTACTACTAAATCAAATAAAAACAAATATAAACTATTTTTCGTTTAGTCATAACATAGAAATCTAAAGAAGATTAATCAGTGTAAAAAATAGATTGTTGATACAATAGAAATTAATATCAATTATATGATATTATTATTTTAAATTCAAAAAAGAAAAAAGAAAAAGAAAAAGATATTTTTAGTCTTCAAAGAAATAAATATAACACTTCCAGCAATTAAAAAAACTATATAGTTACTATTCATGTTTATAAGCTTCAGTTTTCATTGATGCTATGCCTTAATTTGATGTGACACTCATCTTTCTTAGGCAAATAATGAGGATTATTATTATAAGATATGACACCTAGTTAAAATATGAAATACAATAAAAAAAGAATAATTCGAGAAAATTAAAATCTATTATAAACTTGCAGTCGTAGTATCATAAAATGAATAGATAGAATATAAAATTAATTTTATGACTTTGAAAATTGAATATTTAACATAAAGTTCAATTTCGATGTTCTGAATGTACTGAGATTAGAATTTACATATAAGAGAAATTCAATGACATAAATTTGTTTGATATTATCCATCTTTAGAGCATATAAATAATATTTAGAATTTTTTTCTCTTAGAAACTAAAATAATGTTATGTATCGGTATGAATAATAAACGTTGTTAGGTTGTTAAATATAATAAAATTTTATACAAATAAGTTAGAACTGAAAAGAAATGGCTAATGGGCATTTGTTGATTGCTTTTACGGACCTTCAAGCAGTATCCATAACATGTACTCTTGTCCTTTTGTGTAGATAGCTTTTTTATTAGGAACATATGAATAGTACTTAGTTCTTTTTCTTCTCCACTTGATCGGATACAATACATACATATATGTATATATATCTATATGTATGCATTTATTCTTGTCGTTCAATGTAAATTGATATTTATCTTGATTTTAATAATTATATCGATTGATGATAAGTGAAGACAATGTAAAATATTGTCTTTTGATTATCATCAATCATTCGACATACGTTTATCTGTCAAATCTATTCGTTTACTTGATCGATTTAATTGAAATCTGTATTTATAAGATTAGAAAAAGAAGAATGAAAAAAAAACCTTTAAATCCGATCTAGTTTTTTTAATTAATAAAATAAAAAGAAAAAAAATAATTTGTTTAGAAATAAATATTTTATATAAGAAAATCAAAGTCGTCTCTTTGTATTCCCTCTAGCATTATAATTTTGTTTTTTTTTCATTTGGGAATTAATTCAAAGAAAAGAAAGTTTAGCCTTGCAGACATGGAAAATATTCTTTCATATAATCTTCTTTTTCTGCTTAGATTAAGTCTTATAGAATTGACAAGATTCAATTTGATTACTTTTCAAATTTTTATTTTTTGACCAACAAAACACATATCATGTAACAGTGTTCAAAATTCTTGAGTAACAAAGATTTTTTGTGGTTTAATCAATTAGAGAATAACAAGCATAGTTTTTCCTTTTCCTTTTCTTCCTCCTCCTCCTCCCTCCCTCCCTCCCTTTACTTATGATAGAATGACGCAAGACAAGAAAAGTACAACTTTGCCCACTAATAATCGTCAATCGAACCTACTCTTTTCTTCTCACTAAGTATTGACCTTTATGTCAAGCAGAGGATAGTTAACAGGCAATAGCGAATTTAAGCCTATCTATCCATATATACTTATATATATATGCATACATATAAAGTTACGTTCATTATTATTGAAAAAAATATCTTATATAGAGGAAAATCTAGTTTATATAAAACTATAATTAATAATATATCTTTACTGGCATGGTCACAATTCTATTATCGAATAATACACCTGCTTCATTGAACTATCAGCATATATTTATGCTTATGATTATTGAAGCAGCAAAAAAATTTTAACGAAATCCATGAGACATATCTATATATAGAGAGAATAATTTTATTGATAGATATCTTATGAACATGATTAAGAGCAGAAAAAAAGGAAAAATCCCCAGTAGAGTACATATATATTCGTTGTCATCATTATCATTGTTACCCCCCGATGTCATAGTCATCATTTAACGTTTTTTTCCAATTATAGCGAGTCGGCTCATGCAAAGCTTTGTCTTCTTCTTCTTTTTTTTTTTTTGAAATACATTTACAAAAGAACAGAATCAATATAGATGCTTCTCAGTCGACTTTATTACTGACGACAAATGAGCTTAGTGGTAGTAATAACAGCAACAAGTCTTGGAAAAACTTTCAATAGGACAAAAAGAAAAAAAAGATGTGTCAGCTATGCCTGGTTGCGTTACACATCAGATAACTGCGTTTTTCTAACGGAAGATGACACATCCAAGGTTCATTTCCTTCTGTATTTCACTTGTTCGCTCTCTCATAAAACTGCATGAGAGAAGACAAAAGAGCAAGCAGCTGTCTACCACTTAAAATTAACATACTACCTTTCACTTATATTCTTTTTCCGCATTGCAAACAACCGACAAGCATAAAAAAAAGAAGAATTATTTCAAACAAAAAAAAAAGAAGAAATTAAAAGATGAGATAGCTAACTAATATTTTCTTATATTTTTTCAACTAAGAAGAATTGGTCAGCTAATTTAGAATGACAGTAGCAATTGATCTTCCTTTTTCGAACTATCCATTTCATTAGTAAACACAATAGTCAACCAGACGGACAACTGTCCATTTTATCTGTCCCATTGGATGTATTCATATCATTTGAAATGCCACAATTAATAAAAACATCATTAATGTCTTGTCGTCTATCTATGTATAAGAATGTGTTGCTCTTTCATTCATTTAAGTGACAATCTTAACACGCTTGGATATCTCATATTATGATCATCATTAGACTATGGAATATGTGGAAAAGAAATGAAAAAATAATATAGAGATATATATATATATGTAAAAGTAGAGAAATGAGCAACTGATGATTAATAAATATTACTCGATTTTTTTTGTGTTAGCATGCTTTTTAAGCTTGAACTCAGTATCGGATGATCGGCGGAAAGGATAATTTCTCAAATAACATAGCATTGAGATGTGTGTGTTCCTTGTTCTCGTCTGCAATATAGAAGGGCGGAGATCTTCTAATGAAGAAGTCGTCGTCTTTGTATGTCGTCAAAGAAAAAAAGATGATGAAATAAATAGAATAAACTGTTCCTGTGCTCTACGATGCTTATTGCAAAGTATAAAACGAAGAGAAAGAGAGAAGGAGACAATGAAAGGAGAGGAGAGGAGAGAAGAGAACGAGAGGGAGAGAGAGAGCAAAAAGGAGAAGGGAAAATAATTTCGGATAGATGGTGATGGTGGATGTAAAGAAAGAAAGAGAGAAGACGAGAAAAGGAGAAAGAAACAGTCGGTTGTCGTAGATCTACTCGATCTGTTTTGAACATCGTCAGCCAGCCAGTCAAGCAGTTCGTATGCGGATGTGGCCAATATTCGTCTTGCTATCAATTCTAGTTCCACTTGTCGCACCGATTAATGTAAACGCATATATGATTAATCAAACAACAGCAAATATATCATGGATATATCCACTTGATACAAATAATCCTGATGATATCTCATTACTTGGTGGTATGATAAAAGGTTTTTATGTTATCGTTTTTGCACCTTTATCAATGCAACCACCTATTGTACATCGTAATTATGAAGGTACTATTGGTACACAATATTGGGATATTGTTGGTAATTTAACGCCTGGTACAACATATCATGCACAAGTGAAAGCATTTACAAAAAAAGGCGATGGAAAACCAAGTGTACCATTTATATTTACTGTACCAAAGGAAGATTTTCGTGAGTGAAATTAATAAAGAATATCTTAGTATTCTTTTTTTTTTATCTTAACCCACTATTATTTATAATTTGAATACACATATATATATATATATATTATGAAAGATTGCTTAGCGTGTATATAAATGAAAAGTGATTGATCATAGTGATGATCTTTGGACACGCCCTTAACGCTCCAGAAAGGAGAAAATGAGAAGAAAAATTACGTTTTCTTATTCTTTGCGTTTTTTTTATATTCTAGTTCTTTTTCTTGTATATATATATATATATTGAAGAGCAATAATTGTTATGAAGAAAAAAAAAGATAGAAAGAATACTCCGTTATCTTGCCGATGTATGCTCATCACTATTAGGAACAGTAACAGCAGCACTACTACTACTACTACTCTACCAAACAGACAGAAATCAATAATGAAAGTTCTTATGCAATTCTCAGCTTTTTTCTCTCTCTCTCTCCCCTCTTCTTCACATACAAAGACGTAGAGTAGTAGTGGTGATAGTCAGTCTTACTCTACTGCATTTCTTGCTAGTAGGGGGTAGCGATGTGTCTATCAATAATTGTCTATTCTTGTATAGATTTCCATAGTGAATATATATATTTATCCAACAGGAAGATAAATAAGAGTTTATTCTATAAGTTCAGGTGGATACATTTCATTACAATAGCTAGAGAAAGGATCTTATTAAATAAGAGTCTGCGTGTCAGTTGTGTAATGCATTAAAGCGTATAATGAGGTTAGCTCAATTGATTGTTGTCCGGCTAGTGATGTTTTCAAACAAGATGTTGTATCTAATTTACTATTCTTAGCTGCTGGGAAAACTTGTTTTTTTTTCTTCTTACGTCACCATATGTCATAGGTCACGATTGTCTAAATAGAACTGGTCATAGTAATGCCCAATTTAGAATGTGTGTATATTCTTTGCCGGAAGTTGCCGTTCTCTATTTAGTGCGTGACAGGCACACAACTAATTCATATTTTACTTAAAGATACTTGATCGAGAATGAAGTGAAAGGAAGAAAATGTCTTTATTGATCAAATACTTTAAATAGATCTAAGTACAAGAAGATTTTTGCAATCGTTTTATTGATTGTTCTATATTCGAAATCAAAATTCAATATAAGATAACAGAAGCAACAAAATGAAACGAGATTAATTTTATCTTTTAGTAGTGATAGTTAAATCATGTGTAAATTTAATAAGTGAATAAGCGAGAAATGAAAGCAAAATGAATCATTGAGAATGGAAAAAGTAGCCTTAAGCATTCGTTGACCGTCTGATGGACAATGATTGAATTTTGTTCTATCCAGTCTATAGATAAAATTTAATTAAATCAAAATCAAAATGTTCAAGATTATTTAGTCTATGTAAATATTCTATTAAAAACCAAGTTTTTTGTTTTCGGTAATTCCCATCGATGATATTAAGTTTTCAAATAAACCCGTTCATCCGTAAACATTTTTAATAGTAAAATAATTTTTCTAATGAACATAAACAATGTTTTCGACAAAAATAATTCACTTGTTGCTTCGAATTAAATATTTCCCGTTGAAGTAAAGATGAATCAAAAAGATTTTTCTCTACGAATGAATTCGAATTTTTATTAAGACATTTTGGGACCGTTGGTAATAGTTGTTGAATAGAATTCGAATTAATCGATTGTTTATATCCACAACATGGACATTTAACTTTCGATATAGAATTTATTTCAATTGATTTCGATTTAGGTTGAGTAAGATAGGCTTCATTATTTGTATTTATATCTTGAAGATATTGATTAATTGTTATTTGTGATTGTTTTTGAAATTTCCTTACTAGGAAAAAGATTTCTTTTTTTTTGAAGAAGAAGAACGACATGATTTATTTTGTAATATAATTACATCTATTGTCAATTAATATTGATTTTTCATTTGATTGAGAATGTGTTGAAGATAGTCTTTTGATCGAGATTTCTTTATTCATCAATTTCTATTATATAAATGATGCTTTTATTATAAACGAAAGAAAGATAAACGTTGTATTTACTAGTTTTTTTGTTATTTTCGATCGTGAACAATCGGATGATGATGAGGAAGAAGAAAATGCATCGTTATTCTGTAGTTTAGGAAAAGAAATATAATCGACTAAATAATAAAATTTGACTTATAGAATTAAAATAAACATAAACATGCCTGATGAATAGAATATTTTTTAATATAATCTGATAATGATGAAGTGTTTTTAATTAATTGATTTTCATATTGTGAAAACTATAGAATTAAACTTTTAAATTTAGTTTTTATTTATATAATTAAGTAAGAAAAGACAACAATAGATAAGCTAGATTTTGATCATTGATTCATTCGTGCATACATCTGTGCCTGTCCTTGTTCGAATGATTGATTTTATAGTCTCGATCAATTCTTTTATAAAAAACGGAAACTAATCATTAGTACTTTTGTTTAGAAACTAGATTTAGTTTATACAAAAACAAATTATTACTAAGCTAATTAGTGAACAAGATTCTATCATCGAACCGACAATCTATCGCATCGAAAAAATTCAGTAGATGTCGCATCTTTACACGAGATAAATGTAACGGCAAACGAGATCTATGACATTCATCTCTTAGAAAAAAATCTCAGGTCAAAACTTCTATGTACCGAGTTGCCTGTTTTGAAAATCATGATGTTCATAATATTTTTTTTGCTCTAAAAAATTATTTCCGGAAATATGTATGGCATCATTAACCATGTACTTCCTTTTGTCCTCGTAGGATTTTCTATCTTCGGTAACTGATAATAATCAACGAAGAGAATCCTAATGATGAATATAATTATTTTCGTCTTACAGAAATTCTAATAATGATTAACATCTTATTATTGATAAATAGTATCTTGTCTAATTATATAGTTTGTTCGTTGCATGACAGAGGTAAATTTCTGCTTAGAGAAGAATATATTAGTCGTTTGTTTAACTTACATGATCAATTAATGTAATTGGTTCGATAATATCAGTATTATTGAATGATTTTTGATTTAAAGAAGAAAAATCTTTATGAAAACATAAAGGAATATCGTATAAAGGAGAATGATTAGATTTCATATCATTTTTCCAGATATTTATTGATGAGAGAATTGCATTTGAATTTATTTCATTTTTATATTGAATTTTTGAATAATTCAATGGTTCAATTTGATGAATACATTTTAAAGCAAATAGACAACATAAATGACAAGTTCTTTCTTGTTTATTCATCTTACATTGATCAATAACAGAAGATAAATCGATACCATATGTAGGATTATACTGATGTTTATTTTCGGACATGAGTATTCCATTGTTAAGATTAGATAGATCCATCAATGTCAAGATAAAAAAAAATTCTTAAAAAGAAAAAATATCTATATATATATTTATTTCCCGCAAATTAAATTTTTCGTTTTATTTTAGGACAATTAACACCAAGTAATCTAACAGCATATATTGTCAATGCTCATACATTAAGTGTGACTTGGGATTTACCAGCCAATGTCAATGCTATAGATAAAATTTATATAACTATTATTGAACTTGGTCAAAAAAATCGAACGATTCAAACGCAATCATTTGATAATACAATTAAAAAACTAGATATACAAATTGATGCCAAGGATCCATTTAGTATGTGTTAATAAATAGTTTATTTTTTATTTATTTTATTATTAAGGTGTTCATCCAAATCGAACTTTACATTTTTCTGCACGATGTTCTGATCGTAATGGACAAAATTCATCAACTATTGAATACCAGTTTCATGTTAATATGAATAGTAAGTTTAGATGTTTTTTTACTTAATATATTCAATGTCTTGAACTTCTTAAGGATTCAAAAAAAAAAACGAGAAAAGAAAGAACAAAGGACATTTTCTCTTTCTCTTACACTGTGTGTGTGTGTGCGATGTTGACAGAACGACATCCTGTCGTTAATACATGCGCATATACTCAGATGAGTGGCAGCCATTATTACATTTGATTTATGTTACACGGAAAGAAGGATGATCGATTGACATATAAAAAGAGAGAGGGAGAGAGAAAAAAAATGTGTGAAAGAAATTTCAAGGTTTTACAATACAATAACCATGCTTGATTTTATTTTCTATGTCTTATACATATATAAATGTTCAATTAAATGTTTAATTAGATAAGCAAATCAGGCCAACATCTATCTTGTCATAAATCAGATCATGTGCATGACTACAGCGTCATATTACATATAGACATAAATATGTATATATATATAAACATGCATGTGATGCGATTCGACTTCATCAACCTCTTATATATATTCGAGCATTTTTTATGTTGTTCCCATTCTTTTCCATCTCTTCCTTTCTTGCTTTCTTTTATGAAGCGAAAGCGCACTTCTTTTTTGTTTGTATATTCCAAGCAGACATCAAAAAAAAATGCTACGAGAACAGTGGTAGTTGATATCTTTCTTTCTTCTTTTTCTTCTTCTTCTTCTTTCCATTCTGTTCTTGCTATGGCATTAACTGCCCTGAAGAAAGAAATAAGAACAAAGCAAGCTAACGGAGAAACGCAGAACACGCGAGTAAAGGAAGAAGAAAGAGAGAACGCTCAACCAAAGAAAGTCTCGTTTCTTGACATTGCCCAGATGTAAAAATTTGATCGTTTTTCCTTCTCGTGTTCTCTCTCTCTCTCTCGACTTCTCTATTCCTACTGTGGTTATTATTAAAGCAAGAAAAAAGAAACGAAAAAAAAAGAAGAAGAAGAAGAAGAGAAGAAAGAACTCACCAATGAGTCTTTCATCATAGATTATTGTATTAAAACTAAAGAATAGAAACAACTTACGTCTATTATATAATGATAAAAACAACGATAATAATACAAAACCAAGCATTATGTTAATGCCTCATTTCATGTTTCAACATATTTTTAATTTCTTACTTCTTTTTTCCCTAAACTATCATCCAATTTTTACTACTACCGTACGTCCAAATATCTATTATGCTCAAGTACCTCGTTCATCATCTTGTAAGACAATGAAGAAAAAAACTCAAAAAAAAAAAGTTTTCTTATTATTTATTCGTATTTAAAATAGATCAATATTTATACTTATTAATACTTAATTTTCTTAAATACATTTTTAAATATTTAGATCCAGCACCACGTGATGTTCGTGTTGTACGTGTAAATGACTCAACTATTCAAGTATTTTGGTCACCAATATACCATCCATCTGTTGCACGATATATTGTTCATTATAATGATAAAGCTGAAAGTAAACCTGAAAATACATGGCCACTATTTTCACCACCAAATCCTGCTGCAACATCTGCAATCATAAGTGGTTTAAAACCAGATGCGATGTATAATGTTCGTGTTAATGCAGAATTTTCGTCATTAAATAGTCATGATCCACTACAGACATCGGGGACAAGTCCTCGTGAAGGAGATTTATCTGAAATTCAAGTTGCTGATATATATCGTCGTAAGTTTCCATTTTTTTTGACTATTCAATGATAGACAACTTGCTTTTTTTCTGTCATTGCATGACAGCAAATGTTTTTTTTTCTTCGATGTCATGTCTCTTCCATTTTCCTCAACTAATCAGAGTGAATTAATAGTACTAGTTCCTTTAGAACGAATAGAGTATATTATTAGATGAATAGTTTAACAAAAAAAAAAACGCATCCATTTAGTTATGAATTTTTAAATCTAGAAGAATTCTGATATTAATCGATGTTGGATTGTATTCTAAACAGCAAGAGATAAATATATGCACATGTCTTTCGTGATAAATTCTTCATGCACATATACTTTTAATGATCTCCGTCTGGTGATCAACGTGATGATGTGTCTATCATGTAATCATTGGTTCGTAAAACGATCTACTCAACTGACCAGCATCATCCTATAATAATCACTAGAAAAATGACTGATCAATCTTATGAAACAAAAAAATGTTCTCTCTTGTACTAATCATCAATTCTATTAGTTTGTCCGTTGAGATCAATAATCAATTGTGTAGATCATTATCTCATGAGGTTTATAACGGAGAATTTTTGATATAATTAATAGAGTAACAAAAAAATTGCCTTTTCTTTTCTATGTAAGTTATACTTTATAATTGAATCCTAGATCTATATGATAACGATTTTTTTTTATTAAAAAAATCATTTTGATACTTAAGATAAGGATTAAGCATTACATTTTTTTAACAAAAATATTATAGATATAGATAAAAAATAGAAACTTTTTCGATTAGAAGGCTTTCTATTTATTAATATATTGGAATATAAAGTTATTATTTTCTGATGACGTTTCTACAAGGTTCCATACGACAGATCTATTCAAGATTACTCTATATGAAAAAAAAAGAAATTAGTCTTTCTTATAATAGCATCATTATTTGGGCATGCGTTGATAATTATAGGGTAGATAGTTAATAAAATCTATAATTTAGAATTGATTTTAGTTTTATGAAAAAATATATTAAGAATTTTTTAGTCAGAATTAGTTAAAGAAAAAATGTCATATATATATGTACTTGCCTTTCTAATTGAATATTAATTATCGGTATACATATTCCAATCTTTTTATTTTTATGTGAAAAGAGGTTATATGCATGAAAGACTATCACGAATCGTAAGTCTTAGTATGTTTTAATAAGTCATCGGACGTCAATGTAGCCTGAAAGGGTAATTATAATTAGTTGACTTATTGACATATACCCGGTTTATTTCTACTTTAATATGAAAATTATGTTAAATTATTCTTTTATTTAAGGTTCAAAAGATATTATTCATTATGATGAACAATTAAGTCGACCATATAATCTAACTTATGTTGATCTTACATCTAATAGTGTTAAACTATTATTTCTATTTAATGAAACAAATCTTGATCATCGTCGACAAATACAAAAACTTGAAGTGAGTCAATCGAAATGAATAATTGATATAAACATATATATTTCTTTTATTAAATAGGTACATTATGAAGGTATTCAAAATTATGTCGATGGTTTAGGTACAACACGTAGTACATCACATCATAATTTAGCTGGTCTTATATCAATACCTCCTACTCAAGGTTCACGTGAATGGCTTGTTACAGGTTTAGTTCCAAATACTCAATATACATTTAATTTAAGTGGAACAATATCATCACCAGATCATGCATCTATTAAAATTTATAGTCGACCAGCTACAATACGTTTTTCAACTGATTATGATGCACCACCTTATGTTGATCGACCTGAACAAGATCGAAAAAATTTTCTCAAAACAAATAGTTTATCATCGAGTCCACAAGTTTATTTACGTCTTCATCGTGCATCAACAAAAAATGGACCAATTGATCGATATTATATTGTTGTTCATCGTATTGAACATATTTCTTATCAACAATATGTACCACAAGAGGGTCATCGAGAATGTTGTTATACTGCTGCTGTATTTAATGAATCACAATTACCAGATGTATTTGTATTAGGTGATGGTAAAGAAACACGTGATTGGGAACCATTTCCTGGTCGAGTTTATAATAATTCTCCCATCTCACATCCATTAAAAGTTAAATTAGTTTCATGGGGTTTTAATCGTAAAAAAGAAAATTTAACAACATCAAGTTCAACAATACAAATAAATTTATTACCCAAATTAGTTTCAACACAAAGTCCTGATACATTTTATAATTTATTATGGATATTTGGAATAATTGTTTTAATTTTTTTAATTCTTCTTCTTATTATTATATTTATATTAAAATATAGTCGAACAAAAAAGAAACCATTAACACCACCACCTGAATGTGTACCATTTGATTTAACACCCAAAGTTTTAACAATGGAAATGCAAATTCCTATTTTACCCCCGACAATATCACCAGCATCATCAAATGAACCTGTCGAATTACGACGAACACAAACATCAAATACATATACTGCTATTAATAAAGAAGTAACTTTAACAACAAATCATCCTCCTATACATATTGAAGAATTTTCTGAACATCTTGAACGTTTAAAAGCAACTGATAATTATAAATTTTCTCAAGAATATGAATCAATTGATCCTGGTCAACAATTTTCTTGGGAAAATTCTAAATTAGAATATAATAAACCGAAAAATCGTTATGCAAATGTTATTGCATATGATCATTCTCGTGTTATTTTACATACAATTGATGGTATATCAGGAAGTGATTATATCAATGCAAATTATTTAGATGGATATAGAAAACAAAATGCATATATTGCAACACAAGGTCCATTACCAAATACATTTGCTGATTTTTGGAGAATGATTTGGGAAACAAACTCAGCTTGTATTGTTATGATGACAAAATTAGAAGAAAGAAATCGATTAAAATGTGATCAATATTGGCCATCGCGAGGAACAGAAGTCTATGGATCAATTCAAGTTACTTTAACAGATTTTATTGAACTTTCATCTTATAGTATTCGAACATTTACTATAGCATGGGTAAGATTTGAATATTTCTATTTCAAAAAACTATTAAAACTAAATTATTTTAGACTGGTCATCCAGAAAAACGAGAAATTCGACATTGTCAATTTACAGCATGGCCAGGTAATAATTGATAAGATTTATTATTTGCTATGAATTATTTTATTTTGTTTATAGATCATGGCATACTGGAACATGCAACATCATTTTTAATGTTTGTTCGAAGAGTAAAAGTTCTAAATCCATCAGATGCTGGACCAATAATTGTACATTGTTCTGCTGGTGTTGGTCGTACTGGTTGTTTTATTGTTGTTGATGCTTTATTAGAAAGATTAAAACATGAAAAAACTATTGATATTTATGGACATGTCACTTTGTTAAGAGCACAACGGTAAGCATCTAATTTTGACATGTTTTCTTTAACTAAATTATCAAATAGACATTCGTTATTAAGCGAGACAACACAGTAGAATTTAATCTAAATATAGTCTGTATATTAATGAATATTTATGACGATACATAAATTATCTAATTAAATATAAATATTTTTCATCTGTCCACATAATATTTAGCTTTGTAAATATATAAACCTTGATGAAAAAGTGTAATTGCCATATGTTTTAATTTATTTTTTCCTAAAAATAGATATTTCATTTGAAGTGAGACATTGAAAAAGTATCTTCTCTTATCTTAAGTGAGAGGAGTGTAACAAATAAAACTTTCTTCTCAAGTGTACTTAGATAATAAAACACCCTACGATCATAGCTTAAGAGAAATGGGCAATGACAAATCACTAAAATTTCTTTTTTTTTGTTTGAATAGAAATTATATTGTTCAAACTGAAGAACAATATATATTTATATATGAAGCCATTAATGAAGCTATTCAATCAGGACAAACTGAAGTTTTAGCAAGGAATTTATTAGCACATCTACAACGATTATTACAACCAATAAATGATAGTTCATTAACAGAAATGGAACTTGAATTTAAAGTAAGAATTCAAAACAAAAAAAAATTTTATTTTATAAATCATACATTTTTGTTTTTTTCAGCGTTTGGCGAATATTAAAGCTCAACCTTCAAAATTTTTAAGTGCAAATAATCCAGCTAATAAATTTAAAAATCGTCTTGTAAATATTTTACCTTGTAAGTTTAATTGAAATAAAAATCATAATTTTTAATATTATTATGTATTTTTAGATGAAAATACTCGAGTATGTTTATCACCTATTCGTGGTGTTGACGGATCAGATTATATCAATGCATCATATATTGATGTATGTTAAATAAATATTTTTTCTGGAAACAGTCGAATATATATTTTCTGTGTTTCTAGGGTTATCGTTTTAAAAATGGTTATATTGCAACTCAAGGACCATTAAATGAAACAATCGATGATTTTTGGCGAATGGTTTGGGAACATAATGTAACCATTATTGTTATGCTGACTAAATTAAAAGAAATGGGTAGAGAAAAATGTGTACAATATTGGCCAACAGATCGATCAACACGTTATGGATATTTTATTGTTGATCCAGTTGGTGCTTATAATATGCCACAATATTTATTAAGTGAATTTAAAGTAACAGATTCAAGAGTAAGAAAAAATTTTCTTTGGTTATTGAACAAAAATGAATATGCTTTTTTAAAAATAGGATGGACAATCTCGAACTGTTCGTCATTTTCTATATACAGAATGGCCTGAACAAGGTGTACCAAAAGTTGGTGAAGGTTTTATTGATTTTATTGGACAAGTACATAAAACTAAAGAAGGTTTTGGTCAAGAAGGACCCATTGTTGTACATTGTTCAGCTGGTAAATATAATTTCTAAAAGATGATAGATAGATATTGATGATATTTTTTTCTATTAAAGGTGCCGGACGAACAGGTGTATTTCTTACATTAAGTATTGTACTTGAAAGAATACGCTATGAAGGTGTTGTTGATGTATTTCAAACGGTGAAATTATTACGTACACAACGTCCAGCACTTGTTCAAACAGAAGTAATTGATTTATATTTATATATATATGTATTTAATTATAATTCTTTTAGGATCAATATCAATTTTGTTATCGTTCAGCTCTTGAATATTTGGGTTCATTTGATAATTTTGTATCTTCTTGACAATAGTTGACAAAACGAAATACTCTAGTCAACACAGTGACATATTTGTTTTTCTCATGTCTCGTTCTTTTTTAATAATTAAAGTATAGATTAGTATTCTCTGATAAAATAGCGAATAAAATGTGATGTTCTACAAGAAATAAATAGAATAAGAAAAAAGAAATGTATTGCTAGAGCTTTTTTGATTTTTTTCCTGTTTCCTTTCGGATTGTATGTACATATCTATTCTTTTTCAGTTTTTTTTTGTTTCTTTTTGATACTATTTTTTTAACCGTGTATCTACTTCGGCCTATTTTTTGTTTCGTGTTCCTCAGTTTTGTTCTTTTTCTTTTTTTTCCCGTTTGTTCATATGTGCATGTGTGTAATCTACTATTAGGAATGATGTTTTATTGAAGTGTCAAAATTGTAAAAGCTCAGATTCTTTTTTTTTCTGTTTTTAAATTTTAATTAAGAATATTTATTAATATAAATCGGGTTGTACCGATTTAACCAGAGAAAGAATCTATTAATTGTTTTTTTCAACGATAAGAATATCATCCATTATTTAGAAATTACCTGTAAAAGATTTTCAAGTTTAAAAGGAAATAGTGTAATTTAATTTAAAGAAAAATACTATATTTAAAGAATCAACGAGGGAACATCCTCAAGTGTGGGTGCAAGTTAAGAAAAGATGAGCTCATATCCATACTCACACCCACCCACACTCTCACCGACTCACACTCACCCACACCCACACCCATTCACACCCATCCACACTCTCACCGACTCACACCCATCCACACTCTCACCGACTCACACCCACCCACACCCATCCACACTCTCACCGACTCACACCCATCCACACTCTCAC